AACTGTCGACCCGGGCTGGACGATACGCACTTCGTCGCGATTGATACAAGAGCATTGAGGCTATCCATCTCCACCCCTTCACAGTTCGTATCAATAATTTCCTGAGCTCGGTTTTCGCTGATCAAGAAATGCAGCTGCAATATCCAAAAAAATAATGTCAAAGACAGTTTCTTGATAGGAAGAGACCGTAAAGTCGGAAACTTTGGCATTACCCATCCGACAACGTTGAGGCCTTTCTCAATGAACGAGGCATCGGTGGGACGTTTTGCACTCAATACTTCAAGAACCAAAACCCCGAAACTGTACACATCGGTCTTCTCAGTCGCTCTTCCACTCTGCATATACTCTGAAATCGGAGGAAATGAAAAAGAAAAGGGTTTCATGTTTAAGTTCTTATGATGAATTTTAACGAGCGAAAACACGAGGAACTATCCAAACCTGGAGCCAAGTATCCGAAAGTTCCTGCTACAATGGTTGTAATATGAGATTCCTCGTCCTCTAACAACTTGGCGAGTCCAAAATCGGAAACCCGAGCCTCGAGATTTCCGTCGAGCAAAATATTGCTCGACTTAATATCACGATGTATAATCCTCGGAGAACAATCGTGATGTAAATACGCTAACCCTTTTGCTGCTCCTACGATTATATTTACGCGTGAATCCCAGTCCAGTTGCTCTCCTCTTTCTATCAGAATCAGATTATGAACATACTCAGTAATTTTTTGTACTGATTCTTAATGGAAAGCCAGTAAAACGGAAATAGGATTTTTACCATGAAGAGCTTCATCAAGGGTACCGCCAGGCAGATAATCATATAACAATAGCTTTGATGTCGGGGAATTGCAATATCCACGTAGATTCACGAGGTAACGATGCTTGATGCTCCCGAGAATTTCGAGCTCCCTCTCGAAAAACCGATCAAACCCTTCGTTCAGCTTTACGATTCTTTTCAATGCAAATACATTGCCATCATCCATGGCGAGCTTGTACACTGTTCCAAATCCTCCAATGCCAATTATGTGCTCTTCGTTCAACATTTCCAGTTTCTTAATAATGTCCTTTGAAGAGTAGGGCAAATCTCCATGGAACATCACAATAGATGCACCTGGAAGTTGCAAAAAAAAATAAAAATATATATATAAATCAATACACTCGTCATTCATTTTTTGTGAAAGTTTTATGAATTAGTTATCAAAATTGAAACTTTCCAAGATTCTATGGATGATATCCATCAAAGAGCCAGAAAGGGTCACCTCCACCAACATCCATGGCAAGGCTTTTGCTCTCAACTTTACCGAGCTTTTTATAAAGAAAGCATCCCCAGAAACACATAAGTGCCACTAGGAGCAATGCACCGACAGTTGCTGAGGTGCTGATGAGGAGCCTGCCCGAGTTCTTCTTCCCTCCTTGGTTTTGACCTATATAATGTCAAGGACAAATGAAAATTTTGTCAGTTTCATGACACGGCACCTTAGGTGCCAGAACATTTGACACTCAAAATTTCATGGATACCGGTATGTATACTGATGAGATCAATTTATAGCTTTACCTGTTGTAGAATGGGAATCTCCAGAAGGGTTTCCATTGTCATCTTTGCACTCAACATCTATTTGCTTTCCACACAATTTAAGGTTTCCAATGAAGCTGCGGAGTAATACACCACTTCCAAAATCAACATTGGGATCCTTAATTTGTCTTTGTTTACAGTTTCAGCTAAATCGGTACAAGCTAACAAAATGGTGCTGATCAAATGTTCCGAGCGATCTATCTATAATAGAAATATAACACTTGCAAGAGCCACTGTAGAAGATATCTTTAGAACCTCTATTCTCAAGCTCGGCAAAGGGAAAAAGGGTAATGCAAAGGTTTACTTACGAGTCCTTTGAAAATTTAACGTACACTCCATCAGATGGTATCTGCCCCACCAGAAAATTGTTTGAGACATTGCTTCAAAAGAAAAAAAAACAAAACAAAAATCAACATAATTGGTAACACTGACAATGAAAGACTGACAGAGAAACATGATTTGAATTTTAACAGATCGCATCCCCTGATAGAGATTAAAGGCCACTCACAAGTTTGTAAGCTTTTCCAAATGCCCAAGCGAGACAGGTATTGCTCCTCCGAGAGAGTTGCTCGAGATGTCCCTGGAAAACGAAGTCAGGGAAATCCACCATCACTGTGTTAAACAATCTGTGTGAGACAAACACCATATCCACAACAGTCATCTCTGTAATCTAGAGCTTTTCGTCCATCCCAAAGTTCACAATATGGTTTGTTGGACATTAAATAATAGATTCTCGGAAAGTAAGAGCTACTTCATGTTTGTCAAACCCCAGTAGCCTTTTTAAAGTTCACGACGACTAGAGATACAACCGATTTCAGAAACAGAGTGTTGTTGAAGAATGCAGAGCGAGAAGAATCTTTTGAGGGCAAGTGATAGTTTATAGAGGTCACTATGAGAGTGGTAACAAAAATGAGAACGTGCCGAAAGGGAGAGCCAAATAATACACTTGGTTTACAAAACAAAAACCATGGAGTGGGAGTGGAGAACAACATACAGATTTTGAAGCTCAGACAGGTTTCCCAGTTCACTTGGGATCGATCCACTCAAGTAATTGCCCTGCAAGTATCTGCATAAAACAGGGAAGGAAGACAACAAAAAAAAGAAGAAAACTTTAAAGACCATATCTCTCTCATATGTTCTTGTAATAAGTTGAGATTTCGATGAGTTCAACAAAACCCTTTTGATTTGTTGTTGGCCACAACAATCTGAGAGAGTGACTAAAGAACATACAATATAAAAAAATCAAAAGTTCTAAGCAGGAAGAAAACCAAGAGTATCCAACAATGGTGTAAGATTAGCATACGTATATTGGAAATGGGCTTACATTCCCTGCAATGCTGTGCAATTTCCCAATTCTGTAGGTATTAACCCATAAAAATTATTGTTGTGAAGCATTCTGCAAATACAGATAAATACAAATATGGTCAGCAGCATAGTCTTAAGCAAAAAATTGAATGAAGCAAGGTAAGAAAGCACATACAAAAGCTTCAACTGGTCAAGTTTTCCGAGATCAGGAGATAAAGGTCCACTTAGTTTATGATATGTAAGACTCCTGCACAAACGGAAGGTTAGAGATCAAGAAAGAATATAAAGGGTGTCGAGCTTAAATTTCAAGAAAAACAAGTTTAAAACTTACAAAGCTGTAACTCTTTTGGATTTCCCATCACATGTCACTCCCTTCCATTTACATGGATCGGGATCCTCTGGTCTCCACTGACGAATGACACCATCAGAGCTAGTAATTGCATTTCTGAAGCTCAGAAGCACCTCACCTGCTCGATCGAGAAAAAAGCAACAAAAAAAAAAAGAAAAAGAAAAGAACTGAGGCCCTATAAAGATCTAATACAAACAAATAAGGGAAATGTATTGATTGATGTACCATCGGGACTAATGGCGTGAATTTCATTTGTTAGGGAGCAAAGCATTGAGATCAAAAGAAACCATGGGGAGTAGCATTTCATCAGACAGATGCCCATGATGGCACTGCAATCATAATATATATACTACCAATCATCTGAAAGAACAGACTCCAGGATGTTCTTCACTAAGCATATATTCATCATCTGCTTGATGAGGCCATATCTATGTAAAGGAAAATTATCGAAAAGAGAGGCTCCTGAAAACAGAGAAGACAGCTATCAGATGAAAACTCAAATTGGTGAAGTAATTTGCAAAAGACATGTTATAAACATCCACATGTTATAAGCATTCACAGTGAAAGAAAACTACTTGAAAACTATGAGTCTATCGAATTCACAAGATTAAACGATTCTTCTGCATCCACCATCATCGTCCTCTACTGTTTCAGACCAACAAGACCATCTACGAGATAGTTTTCCCAAATCATCCATGTAAATCTACAAATACGAGACCCAGCTTCTATATCACTTACTTGCACTTCGTAAATTAGCCGAAATCAAAGGTACTACTCGTCAATTACAACATCAAGCTTTCTATCAACAAATGCACAACCTTTGCATGCTCCAATCTGAATGTTTCAGTACCCAGAAGAGTGAAATTGCATCAAACGGATCAGTTCCACTTCCCAATTCCGAGAATTGGAAGGCGATAATGAGATTCCCTCCCTAAAACCCAAGCTTCCCGAATAACCACGAGTTCAGGCAGCTCGAGTTTAGCCGAAATTACGAAATTCAGAGGCACCATTACAGGGCCCGGCGCAAGAGCGGCTGAAGATTCAAACACCAACAATCGGAACCGAACTCGATGGACGATTCAACAGAGAACCTAACAAAACCCCCCACTTCCCAAAGACCAGAGAAAAAAAATGGCAACATTAACGAAATTACGAAAGAAACAACAATTAAAGAAATAAACAGACCTCTAAATGGATCCGCGACGAGGAAGAAGAAGAATAGGACAGAGGAAGAAGACGCTATCGAGCTGTAAAGCAAGTATGATTCCAAAAAAACTTTTTTTTTGGGTTGTAGTGTGATTTATGATATATGATAGAGGACGAAGCCACAGAAAGTAGAGTGAGAATGGTTTTTTTTTGTGTGTTTCGGAAAAAAAAAAAAAAAAAAAAAAAAAAAAAAAAAAAGGGAGAGTTTTGTGAGATGCTCTCTGAGGGAGGAAGCATCAGCCAATGAGAAGGGCGAAGTGGGACTTGCACGTGCCGACCGCGACCCCCGCACGTGCCGACCGATCTACATCTCTAATTAAACCCCAATTATTATGCCAGCTGGACAAATAGCTTGTTGGGCCTTAATGGGCCCATTTAGTCCTTTGGAAACTAGTGGGCCTAGTGGTAATCGGTCTAAGTGGGGGAAGGTTACGGTTTGATTAACCGAATCGAACCGAGCCGGTCGAGATACAGCCTGCTTTCTTCTCTCACATTTTCCGGCGGAGTAGACGAATGGTGGGGAAGAAATGGCTGCGACGTCTCTGTCCCTGATACCGCCGGCGAGCTTCTTCTGCGGCGGGAACCGACGGGGATGTGGCACCGCTACTGGATTTTGTGTCGCACGAGCATCTCCGGTGGACCATGGTCGAGAAAGCGTGCTTCGTCTCTCTGCCTCGGCTGTTCTGTTCCTCGGTTTAAGCCTCCATGTCTGCTCTCCAGTTTCCGCTCGAATACTTCGACGAAGGGTGGGGAAGAAATGGCTGCGACTTCTCTGTCCCTGATACCGCCGGCGAGCTTCTTCTGCGGCGGGAACCGACGGGGATGTGGCACCGCTACTGGATTTTGTGTCGCACGAGCATCTCCGGTGGACCATGGTCGAGAAAGCGTGCTTCGTCTCTCTGCCTCGGCTGTTCTGTTCCTCGGTTTAAGCCTCCATGTCTGCTCTCCAGTTTCCGCTCGAATACTTCCTCCGGTCGTCGCTCAGAATTCCGAGAAGGAGAATAAAATCGATGCAGAAAATGTTGCTGGTGCTTGGATTTGATTTTGGATACTGTTGGATTTCGTTTGGATGGTTTATTCTCCTGCTTTGAATTTGAATGTTCCGGTCGTTTGCAGGTGAAGAGAACCAAGGCGATCTGAAATGGTTTGAAGATGAAGGATTGAAAGAGGAATTCGAAGCCTACAAGGCGAAAGTGTATTCTCTTACTGTGCCGCTGAAGGTTGTTGCCCTGCGTGGTTCTGTGCCTCCTTCATGGATTAAGGTTGCGTCTGATTCTTGAGGAAATTCGTATAGTTTAAGATTAGTGGAATCTTAGATTATGGAATGTTTTCGTGATTTTAGTTGAATTTTTTGCCGTTTGAACTCTGTGGTGTATCTGCATTGAAAATGAAGGATTTTATGAGCTCGCAAGGCAAGAGAGTGAAGCTGCTACCCAAGTTCCGAGCAAGTCTTGAAGAGATTTTCTCTGATCTTTCTATGCCCTCCAAAAAAGGAAAAATTGGTCATGCATCCATGGTGGCGGCTGATATCATCGGTATCGGTGATTCTTGGCTTAGTTTCGCAATTAAGGAAAGGATTATCGAACCTATGAAAGGGGTAGAAGGTCAGGATTGGTATAAAGGTTTGAGTGATAAATGGAAGGTGAGAACTTTATACCTGTATCAGTTATCCTTTCGATCTGAATATATGTCTTATTGTCTTTGTGAAGAATTTCCTGTGCTCACCATGGATTAGTAGTCTTTGAGAGAATGCTTGATCAAACAAATACTTGATTTATACGCATAAGTTCCATTTGGATGTTTTTCACTTTGCCTCTTCTTTGTGCTTGAAACAATCAACTGAAATCATGTCTTGATCTAGTTATCGTCAATCGATTCAAGTGATTTCTACTTGGACTTACAAAGTCTCAGGTTTATCTACGCAGGAACTATGATGGGGAAAAAGCTCCTGACGGTGAAATATGGGCTGTACCATACAGATGGGGCTGCATGGTAATAGCATACAAGAGAAACAAATTTCAAAATCGCAAATTGGCTCCTATCGAGGTCGGTTTTCTTTATGAATGAATCCTATTCTTATTGATTAAACTTGATAAGACAACAAGTCAGTGTACTTTTTTCGGGTTTAGGACTGGGCTGACCTGTGGCGTCCCGAGCTTGCGGGAAGGATTTCAATGGTGAATTCTCCCAGAGAGATTGTTGGTACTGTTCTCAAATACATGGGAGCTTCATACAACACAGAGGACATGGATTCACAAGTTCCTGGAGGCAGAATCACAGTGGAGAAAAATCTAGCTTTGCTTGTGAAACAGGTTTTTTTTTCCCATTGTGTTGATTCTAAACACGGAAGACTTAAACTTTGACAATTTCACTGGGAAAAGATGACAATACCTTGTCCTTTTTCTTCTTGATTATAGGTTAGACTGTTTGACAGCAACAACTATCTGAAAGCTTTCAATGTTGGGGATGTCTGGGTGGCTGTCGGTTGGAGCAGCGATGTTATTCCCATGGCCAAACGGATGTCTAACGTTACCGTGATTGTTCCCAAGTCCGGTGCCAGTCTATGGGCTGATCTCTGGGTAAGTTCCATTCAAAGTTCCTTGCCAAGTGCTTAGCATTTTAGGTTTCCGTTTCGGTTCGGTTATTTCGATTTTAGAAAAACTATAACCATTCGGTTTTTAGATTGAATTTGGTTCAGTTCGATTCTATTCTATTTTGGTTAGACTTTGGTTATATTCAAGGTTTGGTTATTTTTTTGTTTTACAAAACTTCGGTTTTTATATTGATTTCGATTTGGTTCGGTTTCGATTTTTATTGATAAAAATACTCATTTTTTCAAAGAAATTTTCAGTTTTTCGATTATTTTTTGTTATAGTTCGTTTAGTTCAGTTTTAAAAAAATCATAATCTTTTGGTTTTTATATCAGATTCGGTTCAGTTATTCGGTTATTATTAACCAAATTGTGCATCTCTAACTGATTATAAACAAAGAAGAAGACATCATCACTGACCTGTAGATTATTCTTCTTAAAAGGTGATACCATCGGTCTCTGGAGCTGAAACTGAACAGATAGGGGGACGAATTCGAGGCCCTTCACCGATAATCCACCAGTGGATAGAGTTCTGCTTGCAACCTGCAAGATCTTTGCCCTTCACTCAAGAAGTGATTCCTGGAGCTTCTCCTTCGGCCATAGAAGGCGATCATCCGGTCAGATTACCCGAAGATACGAAGAAAAACAAACCGAGACTTGACACGAACCTCGTCGGGGGAATTCCGCCTCCCGAGATTCTGTGCGAGTGCGAGTTTTTGGAGCCTTTGCCGGATGATACGATGTCCAATTATGGAAAACTGATTGATGGTGTGAAGAAGCAGGAACAGAGCCTTGGACTCGTAGAGAAGGTTCGTGGTATTATTTCCTTGTGGATTCGAAGGTTTTAGGACAAAGCCGCCTGCATTCAGAGGGTAAGAACACGAGAGAGATCGATACAATCTAGAGTTGTTTGTGCATTCCTTGGTGCAAGTGTTCACATTACCAAAATTCAACTTTAGTTTGTGTTGCATTTCCTCCTTTTTTTTTTTTTGCCAATTTATGTAATCTGAAAAACTAATTTTTTTTTCAACAATTTACATGTTTGCAGTTCGTATATTATACCGCTAACATTCTTACAGGAAAGACTATACTAGTTTCTATATAAACTGTATACCGTTAGCTACCAGTGGTGTATATTAAGTACTTCGAAACCATCATTACATGCATATATATATATATATATATATATATATAGTCCTCAAATAATCCATAGTCAAGGAAAAATCTTACCGGTTTTACTGTTACAGAAATCGTAACACTATAATTTCTGTAAAATTTTTAAAAATTGAGAATGAACTTAGTTAATGGTAAAACAAAAAAAGTAATTAGTCCATAGAGGGTAACAAAATCATCAATAAAGCGAACTAATTTATATCAAGGGGTATCATTAAAAAAATGTACTTGTAAATTGCATAAAATAAATAAGCCAAAAAAAAAAAGCGAAATGAAGTCACCTTCTTGTAAAGTTGTAAACAACATCAAGCTTCTTCATCATCGCTGCTTCCGACCAAAACAACAGAATCGTCGTCCGTCTTTTTCTGCCTCTTTCTGGGTCTGGTTTTAGTTCCTGTCTCTTCCTTTGTCTCATTTTCTTCAGAAGAAGCTGCATCATATTTCATCACCACTTCCAAAATCCTGTCTCCGTACTTCTCCGTTTTCAGTTTCCCTATAGCACTCTCCAACTGCAGCGACCAAAAAGAAAAATCAATCCAAAAACATATTATAAACTCAAACTTCAATCTGATTAAAATGGGTTTTGCTTAAGGACTTGCCTCTTGTAAAGAGCTCGGTTTATGGAAACTTATCGAGCTCATTTGCTGGGTGGAGAGGACTGCGTGCGGGAGTATGCTTCCCTGAGCTGAGGAGATCTCCTTTCTTAGCTCGTCGAGCTTAAGTTCCAACCCGGAGAATGAAACCCTTCGTTTCGATTTCCTGCTGGCGGTTGAATTGTTCTGTCTGCTTGAAACTTCCATCTTGATTATCTTTCTTCCTGCATTCACAATGAAAATGAGATTGAGGAAAGAGATTTATAAATCCTCGGGGAGAAAAAAATGATAAATGTCCCTCTCAAATCTTTACATCATTTATTGATCATGACCAGGAAAGCTATTATTATACAGGAGAAGGCAAACTGTGAGAATGGTCCAGCAAAAATCTAGATTTTGTTCATGCCCGTAGGATATGAATAGGAGATGATCCAGAAGACAAACCAGAAAAAAAAAATTAAAATTCTAAGACAACCTTGCAACACTTGCTTGGCCAATGGTCCCAGTGTCACATAAGCGTTTGTTGAGTATGCCGTATGCTGAAATTCTTCTTTCTGCATGTGAACGAAATGGGACCGTTTCATAAAGAAACTCAGGAAATTTATTGATTTCGTCACATAAGCGTCAAAGTGTTATATGCTAAACATCAACTAAAGTCTATAATGTAAATGTAACGATATCATAAACAGACAGAACTAACAGTCATGGATAAACTGAATGCAAATCTTACCAATACAGAAGTAATTATAAGCTGTATTACGAGGTGTTCGATCTGTTCTTTGTTTAGCTCAGCACCTGAGGTATCAAACGCCAAAGTTAAATTAACAAGAAAAAGCCGGGTAACAAGTTCGAGTCTTAAAAATCGGCCAAGTGGATTATATCATTATTAGAAAAACAATTAAATGTACTGACCCAAACCCTTGTGCATACTTCTGAGTTTGTCTACTAGCTGCAACATCGTCGCTCTCTGATCCTTTTGTTGTGTTTCTTGCACCAAAGAAACCACGAGCTTGGCTGGACCTGCAAATATCAGTATATATCCAAAGTTTATACGAATGTATTATGACTAATGATTTTCCAAAAATATGCAGTGTTATCCATGAAACAAAATAAACTAGGAAAAACAAATGTTCCGAAGAAAAGAGTGAATTATTAAGTTCCAAAAAAAGTAATATGACGCCAGAAAGTACTGATGGCAAAAGAACAAATGAGATAGATAGAGATGAAGAGAACAAGATGCTATGCCAGTCTGAGACTATGGTGTTAAATCTCTCGTATATTAGACGGAACATACCGGATACATCAACTTCTTTGACCTCACTTGAGAAGGCACAGTTATCGCACACTCCTAGGACAATACAGGATGATTATTAGATAATCAGGAGATACAATATCGAGTAAAGACAACAGAAAATTATATCGATGGTGCAAGAGAGTAAGCAAGAATACCATTGCACTCTTGTAATGCCTCGCCAAAATGACGGAAAAACGCACTTCGGCGGCATTTTCTTTTAGTCTGCGTAAAGAGGTTTCACCAGTTATGTTCCACACAGCAGGTGGAGAGTGTTAAAAAAAAGGACAAAATCAACTGACCACCACAAAAGCGACAAGTGAAATCTGAAGCTAAGCTGACCAAGTTATAAGAATATGGTTCCAGTGCTGAATCCAATATAAAAACCTAACCATAGAGCTGACTGCTACCGTTTGATACAGATATTTAATAGTGTAACAATATGCTCTTGCAAAAGAAGTTTGCTTAGGATTCTTAATTAGCTACTTAAGAAAGCAGAAGCAAATAGTTTTCTGGATTTGTAAAGGTACCTGACAATATCGTACTATGTCATAGAGGTTCTGAAGACCAGAATACTCATAAAAGACCATGGAACTCTGTTACAAAAGAATAGGTCAGCATTTTGCAAGTAAAGAAGTTAAATGTAGAAATACATATACCATCAAAAACGGGTCCATATAAAAGTAGAGCATAAGAGGAAAATGCAGCTCACCTGCCTGGGAACATCTGCCGGACGGAAAAAGAGGACACACTCAGATGGGAGGCCATCACGTCCAGCACGCCCGCTTTCCTGATAGTAAGTCTCCATAGATTTGCTCAAGCTGTGGTGGATGACAAACCTGACTACAGAAATGGCCCATCTATTGGTTGGAAAAAAAAATGCACATTGCCGAAAGTAGGAAAAACAGACAATCACCACTAAAGAAAGTTGGCACAAATATTATCATAGAAAGACAACCAGATTCTATCATACTCTTTTTTGAGTGGGCTTACAGAAATGAACTACTAACTACTAAGATAACCAAATCAAAATGTAAAAGCATAATGACAGCTACTCGTACAATAGTCACTAAAAGGATGATTGAAACAAGCGAATGATATCTGCATTAAGGAACATGTGAAAGAACACTTATCCTTGAAAAAAAAATTACAATACTAACCATCAGGTTTGTTGATTCCCATACCAAAAGCAACCTGCAAAAAAAAAAATCAGTGTTGATTCAAGAAGCTCATTGAATCACATAATAATGGAATGAGAACATAAATATTCATACCGTTCCAACGATGACCTGCAACTTGTTTTTGGTCCACCTGCGTACAATGAGACACAAAACCTTAGGCACTGCAGCAAATAACAAACCAATAACTGCATCATTAATTGATGACCTTAAGAAGGTCATTTTGCACCGCAAGCAGGGCTGGAGCTCTGGCTTATGCGAGCTTAGGCACCCTCATTTCAAGAAATATTAACTAACCGTGTGTGAACTTTTTCACGAGCATTTACATCCACGTCTGCATGGTAATAATCGGCAGAAATCCCTCTTTCTCGTAGTTCACCTGCAACCTATGGCCCTTGAGAGTGTGAGATGATATGAAAGGTTTTCTTCCTGTTCCAAGATTTAGAGATATAATCTCAATGAACAGAAAGGAATAAGACAAACAGAGTCAGGAAAAAAATGATGACGATGATGCAAGAATTCTAGTTACAGACCTGCTCGCACTCCTTTCTAGAGAAACAATACACTATTCCAGATTCACCGTTAGGGTACGATTCTCGTATAAGTTCTGCAATTTCATCGACCACCACTTTACCAACTGACGACTTTTCACGTACCTGCAAGATAAATTAACTGCTCATGTTCAAGTCTACTGACTACTCAAGGTTTAATTTTACAGTTAAAAAAACCATTACTAATAATACCGAGTAAAAGAGATTTGGCCTGTTCACGCTACTGACAAATTTGACGCATTTAGGAATATGCAGCATCTCTGTCAGGTCATTTTGGACCTTATGAGTTGCAGTTGCCTGCCACAGAAAAATGGAGAAGTAGATAATGAGATAGTCGACCTCCCACAAAACCTTCCAAAGGGTGTACACAACAGAATTGAACGTTCACCACAAATAAATTGCTACATCCACCAAGATAGAATATCGTCACATTTAAAGTGTGTGCATAAGTTGTGGTGTTCGACTGGTCATTCTGACAAGTATAGTAAGTTAGTAACTAGAGAAAAGCCCCTAGTCTTCACAAGTTCAATCACATAGGACTAATGTGGCTACTCAGAACTCAGAAGCTTGGGGCACTGGGCAAAGGAATAGCAATCCATTAACAAGGCACTCCAGAACTTAAACAGACAATAAAAAGCATAAAACAGTAGAGAAGTGAGACATACAGTCAAAGCCACCATTGGGACTTTGGGAAACTGGGTCTTCAGAATGCTTAAGTTCTTGTAATCAGGACGAAAGTCATGACCCCACTGACTACAACAATGAGCCTCCTGCAAAGTAGCCAACCATAGGAAAATGAGTACCCAGGAAGTAATTTCTAGTAATCAATATCAACATGCCCAAAGACACTACTTCTCAAGTGTACTCCATGGCTCAAAGGAACCCACAAACATCGAGTGAAAAGAGAAGGGGAAAAGTAAAATTACGAGAGATACAGCTTCGAATTCGATTTAAAAAGACTGAATTTGAAAACCCATAAATAGGGCTCACATCTATTGAAATTAGAGAGAGGCGACCAGCATGGTGGCACTTTTCAAGCTTGGACATGAACCTCTTGCTCTTTGATATTTTTTCCGGGGTTACATAAAGTATCTTGAGGTCTTCTTCACCCTTTTCAAGAGCCTTGTATACAAACTTCTCGTTTTCCTTGCTAGTAGTCGAAGTCAGCATAAAGGCTGGAATTCCTAAGGCAGCCAAACCCATCACCTGAACAACAAAAGAAGGACAAACTAACGATTTAATGGTCATACAACAAATAGTTTATCATATTTTTTTTAATTTAACCTTTTCTACAATCTTGAACTCTCTACACTGTATCTTGCCTAGTCTCTATACATACCTGGTCCTGGATCAGTGAGAGTAAAGGACTGACAACAAGAGTTGTGCCACCACGGAGGATAGCGGGAAGTTGATAACAAAGACTCTTCCCACCACCTGCCGCCATGATAACCAGGACATCTCTTCCCGCCATTATAGCATTTATTATCTGTCATTTGCAAGTAAGAGTTTTGAGCATTAAAAAAATGGCAAGGCAAAGGAACGTGAAACCAAGGACCAATTTCACCACCCTGCAAAAAAACAAACAGAAATGATGCCAGATCAAAATTCAGTAGCCACTTACTTCCCTCTGGTTGGCTCGATAAGAGGATATACCAAAAATGTTAAACCTAATGTCATCAGCCCGTGAGTCCCACTCGAAAGGCCCCGACCAGTTCTCTACAGCATTTGAGGCACTGTCATTAACAGGACTTCCCGAGGTGGTAAGTGCTTCTAACAAGGCCTTCAGCTCAGATTTTCTCTCATACAACCTGTCTTGCTGCTCGATCAATGCACTTATCTGACCTGAAATACAATTCCCCTCGACCATACCAGATCAAAACCAATGCAAAACCACAAACATTGCTAAGCCCAACTGTCTCCTAGATCGTCAAGCAACGGAAAACAAAGGCAAGTTCAATCTCTAGTAACTGCTATACCGGAAGCACACCAGAGCCTTAACGAAATTTTAAAAAACCAGCCACAAAACCAGAGCAAAAGGAAACATTTCAGCGACGAACATAAACAACACATAACAATGAACTCAAAAAAAGTAATTGAAAGAGAAAAATACGCAATTTCAGAAGCTCAAAACTATAAACTCGTAGAAATTTGAAAATTCACCGATAATACATGAATCAAACCAAAGCAAACCGGAACAAACATCGAAGAACATAAACAAAACGAGACGGATCAAACGAAGCATGAATAGTAAAATTCACCTTGAATATCCTCGATCTCGGAATCCAAACTTTGGAGCTCATCCAAAATGGCTTCATTCTCCATCGCTTCGCGGCGGAAACGGCGGCGCGAAGACGACGACGGCGACGATCGCCGCGTTCGGCAACGGCAACTACTAAGGGCTAAAGTGGGATGAAGTGGAAGAAGAAGGGCCGAAAAAGACGGAGTATAATAATCGAATGGGCCTTAATCACTAATTAATGGGCCGTGTCATGGTCTTATCTACACCGCTACGACAAATTAAGTGTACGTACATATTTATATTTTAGACTTTAATTTTAATTTTTAATGTATTTTAAATTTAATTTGTTGTAATTAAAAAATAATTAAAAATATAAATTTATTTAAAAACAAATAATTTTTAATCAAATTTGAAGTTGAACTCGAAACATTCTTGAACGATCGAAAAAGTCGACTTTCAAAAAAAATTATTATCTATAAAAAAATGGAAACCAATATAAAAAAATAGATGTTTTTCATCAATAATAACCAGTATATATTCTATCAATAATGGTCTATGTATTTACGTGTTTAATGCCACATTTGCAATTCCTTTTATTTATGCACCTGTTTAATCCAATTTGTGTCCATATATAAAAAAAAAAAGTGTGTGATATTCAATCGAATTCGAACGGAATCTTGTTACCAATATTTTATTTTGGATCGGAGTTATCAGAAAATATATTTTAGTCGACAAACATGGTATGGGTATGGATATATTTGAATTTAAATCATTTTCGTACGTATTTACACATGTCTTGACTCGATTATAATAAAATGTTAAAGTCGTCTGAACCGGTTTGGACTGAACCACAGATGAGGGCGAATTGATTAAACTAGGGAAGTGAGAAAACGTCGTGTTTCGATTGATACGATTCAATTTCGGTTTGAATCGGTTTAGAATTAAATTTCCGAACCGAACATATATATATATATATATATATATATATATCATACGAAAACTTATAATTTCGACGTTGAATGAATACGCGTGAAATGTAATAAAATAATAATAAAACAAAAAAAAATATAAAGATTTAGAGAAAAAGTGAAGTGGGTGAGGTCAAAGTGAAATGGATGGTTTGTATTCGTGTGATATCGCCAAAGCTTTAGGTTACGAAAGATTCGGAAATGCATACATTGTTAAATTTTAAAATTTTAAAAATTTAAAAACATGTTTGGTCCCCGATAGGCTTACGAACCATACCGAACCTTTATTTATTTTTTCGGTCTCGTCATTCAATTACTACACGACAAAACAAACTTTTTCGGCTTTTGTCATGGCTTGTGTCATCAATCAAATCATTTGGGAAATATCGTTGTTTTTCTTGGATTGTTTTTTATTTGGGTAATTGTTTGCTAACAAAATACACAGTAATTATCTCGAATTTAATTATAAAATTATTTTATGCTTATATTGTTCTTTTTCTGGTTTAGATTACATTTGATTTGATTTGGACTTTTTAATCCAAATTTGCATAGAAATTTCAGCAGATGAGTAACAGAGATTTGGAAGCTATATTTTATTCCATAAAAAATAAAATACACCTATACGTATTCCCTATTATATGTGCATTCATCTCAAATCAATTTAATATTTACATTCATTACATGTATATATATATATGGTATTAGACGAATATTTTAATTGAATACGATTTTTCTATATAATATGAATCAAGATTTATAGTTTTGTTCCTTTTCGGACTTAGATAGGGATTGGAGGAACTATATGTGTTCCTACATTTAATTATTTTTAAATAGTTCTTAGTTTATTCAAACTCTGTTAGATACAATTCTTTTTTATAATTCAAAAATTTATCGATTCTTTATTTATATATATATATATTTCAAAATATCAAAAAAATCCGATTAAGATTTTTCTCTACGTTTGAATTTAAACTCGGGATAAGAATATAATTTATATTTTTTTATCATTAGATCATCCGAGTAATATAAAATATAGTATTTAATAAACATATAATGATTTTTTAAATAAAAATACATATTATATATATATATATATAGGGTCTTCCTTGATTCCTTCGCGACATGCATGGAAGTATGTCCTCCACACATTCCCTTTGGATAAAAACCCTATCACACACTTCTATACGTTACATAAAATTTCGCAACAGCCTTATGGCGGTTAATATGAATTTATTCTACACATTTATTTGCCAAAAAAAATATATGTATGTGTGTATATATATATATATGATGAGAAGTACCGAATAATTGTCGTAGGCAGAATAAGTACTACGAAATTGATACAACCTTTAACCCAAAAAAAAAGTACTACGCAATTGTATTGTGTACTTTTTTGTATACAGCGTAAATAGATTAAAAAAAAAATGGAAGTAATCGAGTTGCTTGTAGAATATAGACTAGAGAGGCCCATAAATGGCTCCCTATATATATTTGGCAAAAATTCTATATATTTCAAGATTTATATAATTTGTAATGTGTATATATGTATGTACCTTAGAGCCAATATCTTTTACTGAAAAAAAAACACTAACAATGTCTTTTTTTTTTTGTAGGGGGTATATTTCTGAAAATCATATATATATATATAATATATAGACAAACACATGAAGAAATATCTAGCGAAATGGAGATAGAGGGGAAGAAAACAGGTGAGGATTAGGTTAGAGAAGCATTGGCATCCACTCGATTGTTATAGAATAAATAAATAAATTTGTTTTTAAATGGACAATGACAACTCTTTTTTTTAATTTATTTTATTTTGGTCTGTCTCTCTGGCATCAATTATACTATTTGCTGTCCAAAAGTTGCAGCTTTCTCCATTTAATGCTTGCGCACTTTGTAATATATGGATAGACATCTTAATTATTACACTTTACACACAATCAAAATCCGCGTATAGACGTACGTAGGAACGCATGCATACATGTGTATATACGCGTATGTATGTTCGTATGTGGATCAGTGGATACACGTATTATGTGTGTTTTCACTTTTCAACAATGGACCACAGTTTTTCTCACGCCGCGTGAAGTGAAGGCATCGATGTCGGGACAACAACACCACCAAGAATTGACCAAACATAATCATGTCATAAATTGTATAATGACATGCTTTTTTATAGATAATTGTTAAGAATCTTTGTTTAGGATTGTGTGTGTAATTAAACTTTTATATGACAATGGTGGTTGGCTCAACTGGTAAGTGGGTATGCGCAAAGAGTGCTCCACCCAAATTCGAACCCCACCATTGGCAAATCACATATTATCAAAAAAAAAAAAACTTTTATATGTATACCCAACCTTGGTAGTTCAACCGGTGAAATGGGAGCGCAAAGTGTCTGTTCCGCCCCGAGAACTTCAGGATGGAAAGAGAGCGCATAATTCAAATCACATGACTGGTTCCCGATCCCGAGATTAGTTTGGGTCTCGGTCCAGAAAACCCGGTTACCCAAAAAAAACTTCCATATGTACGCATAAAATTAATCTATCAAAATTCTTTATGGAAATTAAATATTCCTCTTTTCCCAAAATAAATGAAAATTTCAATCAACTTAACAACAGTACCTGGTAACGAAAAGAAGTTGAGAATCGTTGAATTTCCATTACAATATTTACAAGTAAAAAGTAGAATCACAAAATATTTTATTTAATTAATATAAATATAAAGATAAAATTAAATCTGATATTATGGTAATATTCTGCAGTATCCTTCACATCTTGATATCTTTTGTAATATTCATAATGCCACAGTCAAATAATCTGTCGCGTGTATATAATAAGTCAACATCCAAAACATCCATTCGCTGAACCTGCGATTATTGTAAACATATTATAAGATTAATGTAATTTAATTATTTTTTGTGAAAATGTTATGATATTTATTTTCCCCCTTTTTTTTGGGCATGCGAGCCACGTGGTCCGTCTCGAAGAGCCACACAACGCAGGACACCTTTATGTATTTTCAAAGTATTCGGTGGCCGCGCGACGTACTTAATAATCCGCATGCATTCACATCTTTATCCTTGGACGATGAAGCCATATATAGATAGATTTAAACGATTACTTACACAGTTGGTCTATTTTGTTTTTAAAAACAAAAATTAAAAGCACCCATTTAAATTCAATGTTAGCAAAAATGAAATGAAATGAAATTTCGCACCAAGAGTTGCCATTTCATGGCATACATTATACGTTTAGCAAGATCAATCGCAGCAGAAATCATTCTTACTCCTATAGATATACACTCACGTCATAAAGCACAAGATTCGAGACCAATCATTCCAAGCTGCCCTTAGAAGCTAACCCAAATGGATGACATCACGTGCTCCATCTGATTTTTTTGGAGAAAAATAAATAAAAGAAGAATATTGGCACATGAGCATTTTTAAAAGATCCATATATATATATATGTATATGTATATATTCGAAATGTGACAGCGGATGGATGGATGGATGCTTATTTGTTCGGAAGCATAGGCAGAAGGAAAAAGGGCTGAATCTGCATCGCACACCAAACAACTAGCGTGAAGCAAAAGTGGCAAGTTGAGTCATTTGTCGCATTCCATTTGTTCATTTTATGAAATGAATAAAGTTGTTTTTGGACCTTATTACTAGTTTTTATATAGTTTTAGTGAGACATAAAAAAAAAAGCCAACGTTATAAAATGTGTATGGACACATGTTTACATGTTATGTATAAATAGAATATTCGAGTGGAGATTTATTTATTTTAATGACTTTATGTATTTATTATTGAGATGTAACGTTTTCCCGACTTTGGCCCTCTTTGGATTTATGGACCTCTTCCTACCATTCCGCCCCCCTCGATCCCTCATTCATTACACGTCTCTTATCTCGTGAGGAAGACAAAAGGACATCAGACCATCACCCACCCAAAAGGTGCCTTCATCAATGGCCGCCGTCCAGCCGCCTCCGTCTAAGCGCCGGAGAACCCACGGCGAAGGAGGACATTCCGGTGCCGTGATCGAAGGACTTCCCGACCACGTCGCCGAGATCTGTCTCTCCCTTGTCGACCGTCCGTCCCTCATCGCCGCCGTCTGTTCCCGGTGGCGACGGCTTCTGTACTCTCCGAGTTTTCCGGCGTTTCTTTCCATGTACGTTGTTTTCGTTGACCCAGATCCAGGTCCGGGTCGGGTCCGGGTCATGAGTTTCGACCCGGTTTCATCCCGGTGGGATACACTCCCTCCTCCTCCGCCGGAAGCTGGGTCGCTCATCCGCCGTCACCAGTCGTTCATCTCTTTGGATTTCCCGATACAGTCCGTCTCCGTCGCCGGAAAACTCGTCCTACTCGCCGGAAGCACTCGGGAACTCTCGCCGGCGCTGTCTCACCCCGTCGTCTTCGACCCGGTTTCCTCCACGTGGACCCCCGGTCCGACGATGGAATATCCACGGCGGTGGTGCGCCGCCGGAGCCCACGGAGACGCCGTCTACGTCGCGAGCGGGATGGGGTCTCAGTTCTCGCCGGACATGGCGAGGTCCGCTGAGAAATGGGCCATCTCCGGCGATGCAGTGCGGCGGCATGAATGGGAGAAACTGAAGGATCTCAAAGACGGGAGGTTTAGTAGAGAAGCCATTGACGCGGTTGGGTGGAGGGGGAAGCTTCTGATGGTGAACGTTAGAGGAGACGCCGTAAAAGAAGGAGCTATATACGACGTCGTAAAGGACACGTGGCAGGCGATGCCGGCGGATATGTTGGCCGGATGGAAAGGTCCGGTGGCGGCGATGGCGCCGGATGAGACGCTTTATGCGGTGGACGAGACGAGAGGGACGGTGGCGAAGTACGACGAAGAGAGAAGAGAGTGGGGAGAAGTTGTGGCGGAGGAGGAGAGGCTCAAGGGGGCGTATCAAATCGCGGCAGTAGCCGGGAAGTTGTGTGTTGTCGCCGGAGGTGGCGGCGGAGGGAGGAGGATTGTGGTGGTGGATGTTGCGGCAGCGCCGGCGCCGGCGAAGGTTTGGAGTGTGGAGTGTCCTGAGGGGCTTGAACCGGTGGCGGTTCATGTATTACCAAGGGCGAGCCGACCCGAATTTCGTTGAACCGGTGGCGGTTCATTATATACAGTTATTTTTTTAATTTTATTCGTTTTTCCATTGCCTATACGAGTTCTCTTTTGATTTTTTTAATATACGTGAAAATCACGTTGAAGTGATAGAAAAAAAAAAGAGGTTTATACATTTGTTTTGCTAATTTTATAATAAATCCAAGGAGATTTTTATTTTGAAAAAATGTAAGACTTTTAAGTTTGGTTGGAGGGCATAATTTTATATATAAATGTATGTCCCATGCATAAATTTAAAAGTCTTTGGAAAATAAATTCTGCAGGTATTATTGACTTAAAAAATTTCAAACTTTCAATTCCAAATTGTCAACCATATTATAACAGTTGAATTCTGATTTTTGTTTAGGCTTCTCCATTTTTTTTTCTAGGGTGTACGAGAATCGACTTTAAGTTTAAAACGCACCATTTGGGCCTACTTTGATTTTCACTACGCATAGACCCAAAATCTGATTGGGCTTTTTATGTTGTAATAAGTTGGGCCTAAAGGCCCATTATGTAATAGAGCTTATGGGCATGGGCTGGTTTAAAGTAAAGTTCCGTGTTTTCTGAAGTGGAAACGAATTTAGTGGAAATCAAATGACGAGAAATAAAAACCGCGAGTCCAGTCACGCTCTAACGGTCGAGCGCGTGGGGTTCCTTTTCAATAAAAATCCCCAAGTCTCTCTCTCTCTTCCATTTGGAAGATTACGCTCCTCCTCCTCTCTCCCCTTCTCTCACTCTCTCTCTTGGTGGCAATTCGGCGGAAGACAAGAACAAAGAAAGCGAAGGGAAGTTTTTGAAATTGGGTGAGAGAGAAGAGGCTGTTTTCTGTATCCAGAGGGCTTTGGGTGTAGATCGATACGTGCGAGCGGTTTTGGTGCCGGAGAAGTTGTAATCTGTTAGAAATGTCGGAGGAGGAGAAGCTGTTGAAGGAGGCGAAGAAGCTGCCATGGGAGGATCGGCTTTTGCATAAGAACTGGAGGGTCAGGAATGAGGCTAACATCGATCTCGCTGCCTTCTGTGACTCCATCACCGATCCCGAGGACCATCGCCTCCGAGAACTCGGTGAGTTAGAACTTTCGCCGTCGCTTTTGCGTTCGTTGAATCTGTTTGTTTAGAGAATCCGGTGATGCTGCCAAGATGATATTTCTCGCTCTTCTGGATTAAGGAAAATTGAAATATAGGTCTTCTTTAGTCGTGAAAGACAAAAGTTCCGAATCCCGTAAAAATTAGAACCATGAAATTGTGGCTAAAACTTGTGGGAATTTTGTAATTTTAATCTGATACTATCTTTCTGATTTCTTTTTCCAATTGTATGCGAAGATTGCTAGGATTATTCAAACTGTCTTGGTTTTCGTTTATGCTATTAGGTTTTGATAGAAATCTCTGTCTTGATTAGCGATCTCTGTGTCCATCCATGCCAATTACACAAGTCAATGAAGTCATGAACATTCCTTTCCTGTTTCCGGAGGTATTACAACTGGTTTTGTTTCTGAATTGGACGTTTAGGATCTGAGCAAGATAAGGAGCCTGAGCCAGAAGCTGCATCTGAGGTTGGGGGTGCTGCTGGCCCACCCGAGGAGCCTGTTGCTGATGGTCGTTAGCTCGTGCTTCGATCGGATTTTCTTCACCAAGTAACATTTGGAAAAGTAGCTTGTACTGATTTTCCTTCTAATACATGCTATTATCAGTTCCGCCGGAAATAGATGAGTATGAACTCATTGATCCTGTTGATTCCCCTGCTTATTAAAATTGTTGGTAATATATATGCCAATTAATTACGTTTCAATTTCAGAAAGCTACAAAAAGTGGTCAGAATGTAAGGAAACTTGCTTCGACTTAGAAAATCACACCGGGGGGATTTTTCAGAAGCTTGCCAGACCTTAAAAAAGGTGGTTGGACTTTCCAAAATAAGGAATAATGTTTACAAGTATTAGACTTTGATATAGTGTTGCATTTGCCTAAATTTCGCAGGTTCTTAGTATGGTTTTGGCTCTGATGCTAAAGTAGTTTGGTAACACATGTGCTTACAGACTAAATGGAATTTTGATATCATGTGTCTTTTGCAAGCCCTTTATCTAGAATGACAGCTTTTGGTTATGGTGATAATGCAATGTGAACATGGCCGTTGCAGTTGAAGCTATCCAAGCCATCGGTAATCTTGCCCGTTGTCTAAGAACACATTTCTCAGCGAGTTCATGTTTACTGTTGGCTGTTTTACTTGTAAGTATTATAGCATCTTCGAGTTAGAATCATATTAAGTTTAGCAAGATATATTTTCCTGTATTCAAGTGTGACTAGGAGTGGGTTTATCAATCAGTTACTGATTTTATTTATCTTTTTCTTGGGCTCTAAAACTCTCAGGATTTCTTCCAATTCTGACGTGTTCTTTCTTTTGCAGACATTAAATCATCAGTAAAAAAACAAAGCTCCGCTTGTTTTGCCTTGAAACAAGTAATAAGGCTCTTGTCCTGAAGGCACACAAAGATTATGTCCCAATATGCATGGCGGTCAGTACTTATGTGCTTAAATTTCGCTTGTTTTTGTATTGGTGTAACATTGTTATGAATTGGAAACACATGGTAATATAGGACAAAAGTAGCAAGCAGTGTTTCAATCTGTTTATGCAGCTGTATGGTACAAAAATACAGGACTGAAGTTATGGTAATATAGGACTATCAGAAATCCACATAGCTTTTGTATTTCAGCTATATATATATATATATATATATTTTATAATATTTGGCCCAGATGTAGTTTGAATCGTGATGGTGAGTAGCATCTTGTGCTCCTCTTGCCACCAGCCTACCCCACACTGGTGTATATTTCAGCTATATTGCCGGTTGTTCTTCCACAGAGGTTCTCTCCGTGGACTGAAAACTAAACCGGTTCTCTGGTTTACTATGACTGAGATTGGAGATCGGTTCAAGTTAACCGGTCTGATCTTCTCAGTTGTGTAATACGAAGACAAGTTTTGGTGTTGTATTTGTATGGAGATGCGGGGGCTTTGGGCGTTTCTTAGGGTTTGATTCTTCTGCCTTATATATTGTGATTTTATTGGAACATTTCACAAAGCTCGTTTTAATCGGATCAATCTAATGAGATATAAAATTAGATGAATATGTTTTTATAAAACCGAATTAAATGTTAAAATAAATGGTTTTAATATATATATATATATGTATTTTTATTCATATATTGTGATTTTATTGGAGCATTTCACAACAAATTCAAAGTTTGTTCTTATATTTCGGTTCCGTATATAAAATAAAATCCATCTTAATCGAATAATATATAATCATATTCAGAATTAGTTTCGATATAAAATTGGATATAAGTTTTTAAAATTTGATTTTCCTAAAAACCAGGAAAACCACTTTATGGAAAGAATTGAACTAAAAACTAAAAGTTATATTTTTTTGGATTTACAAATCTATAAAAACCAAAAGCCAAAAACTAAAAACTAAAATCTAAAAACCAAAAACTAAATCCAAAAACTCAAAATAAAAACCCCATCCATTCGACACCTAATATTTTTATACAATAAAAAATAATTGGAATTAAAACCGAAATTGAATATAAAAATATTTGAAATTTGATTTTTTTTATAAAAAATGAAACCCATCGATCATTTTTTTAGAAAAAAATGGAAAAACCAAATCGAAATATGGGAGTACTAAAACAGTTGGCTTCCGACAAAATCGAAAATTGCAATTCCATAAAAAGTGAGATCCCTACCTAGCGTAGTTGTAACGCTTGCCACATGACAGTGATTCCTGTATACGCATATACGTATACGCGCATACTTTTCGTGTCCGTGCGTGTGTGTGTATATACGGCCGAGAGGAACCGATCGTGAGAGAGAAATCTAATTCAAGCGAATTCTTCCGAGGTGAAACATGCAGATCTTTGTCAAAACCCTGACGGGGAAAACCATAACCCTAGAGGTTGAGAGCAGCGACACCATCGACAATGTCAAAGCCAAAATCCAGGTCTCTCATCGTCTCCTCTCTCTTTTCCGATTTGTTCTCCTTTTTCGCCGGTGGTTTAGGGCTTTTTTTTGTTTACTGGAATTCGTTGTGAGGGTTATTTGATGATCGATCTAGTTCTTGCCTGCTTGTTTTTGCTGTGACTACCGATTGAAGGAGATGATTTAAGGTTCTTCAAAAGATTCCGATTTCTGGGTTTTGCTATGTAGCAGTTTGTTTAATCGAGTAATCCGAAATTTTAGAAATGTTGAAGTTATGATGCAGCATCTTGTGTTCTCTTCTTATGTACTTGGCTGATTCTGTTCTCACACAGAACTGGAAGAACTCCTCTTGAAGGAACTTCTGATTTGTATTCGCTTTATAGATGAGAATTTCTTGGCAATAGTTCATAGTTTGTGGGATTTGGCATCTTGGGTTCTCGAAATTAGGGGTTTACTACATTTCCAAGTGAAGAAGATTATGCATGCCCTTGACCAATCTTGCATCCACTGGTTTTCAAATCTGGTCCATAGGGTTGTTCTGTTTTGCTGAAAGCTTATCTGTGGTAATCGCTTGATCGATCTCGGAATTGATTTTCCATGAACGTGGTGTGGTCAAACAGGACAAGGAGGGCATACCACCTGATCAACAGAGGCTGATATTTGCTGGTAAGCAACTAGAAGATGGACGAACCCTAGCAGACTACAATATTCAGAAAGAGTCTACTCTCCATCTAGTGTTGAGGCTCAGGGGTGGAACCATGATCAAGGTGAAGACACTCACAGGGAAAGAAATCGAAATTGATATCGAACCGACTGATACCATTGATCGGATCAAGGAACGGGTTGAAGAGAAAGAAGGCATCCCGCCTGTACAACAAAGGTGAAACACTTTTCTACTAATAGCATCAAAATCTTTCCATTTCGTGATTTATATGTGTACCCATGTCACTATTGCACAACTCCACTCTTTAACACTTACACTATAAGCTCATTCCTTGTGCACATCTCAAAACAAACTGTTCTTCTGACAACTATTGTGCTGTTCTCGAACCTAGATAGTTGTGGTTTTCAACTTTGATATGACTTGCATGAATTTCAATCTATTTTTCGCCGGTTTTTTCTTCTTATATGGTAGGATGGTTTTACTAGATATTTTTCTGGGCTTCAGGCTAATCTATGCCGGGAAGCAGCTGGCGGATGACAAAACGGCTAAAGACTACAACATAGAAGGTGGATCTGTTCTCCATCTGGTTCTTGCCCTTAGGGGCGGTGGTGGTGCTCAACTCTAAAGCCTTTTTTAAGCATTTGCTCCCACCTTCTTGTCTGAAGAACATCCTCCCGTTCTGTCTAATTTTCTGGGTATTTGCCTTCTGTTATTTCTGTTGAGAGATGTGATCATCATTGGTGTATGGTTTATGTCAAACAAAAAAAAAAGAAACTTGATTGATAATGTTTTTTTTTTTGGTGGGTTTGGATCATAAAACCTGACTGATCGGTTCGCATATACACACATCTATATGTACACTCTGCCATATATTCGAATCAACCAGACAAAACAAAACCCACTTTGATAAACAAATGAAACCTCAATTCCTCTGTATTGTCGTTGTGAAGATTTACCGTTGTGTTTCTCCTGAATATGCTTTCTTTTGTTTTGTTTTTTCTTGCGGGAAGATGTTTTGAGTTTCTTTTGCGTATAAAACTTTAAAGTCGAGGCCTTGTCGGGGAAAATTTAACATTGCAATAGAAAATACCTAGCCGCCTCCCGTCAAAGCACCCACCACACCGGCCGGCCCACTGCCGGTCGGAAAAAGAGCTGATCCTCGTCACCAAAATCCCAGAGCAATGGGCAAGAAGAAGTCAAGTAAGTCTTCACCACCAAAATCCTCTGCACCAAAATCCATTTCCCCAATATCCACCTCACCAAAATCTGCAACCTCCCCTTTCGCCCACTCGTCGTCTAAAAAAATTGCGCCGGAGGCTGGGTCTATCGTCGCGGCGGTGGATGGCCCAAACAGTTCCCCGTCACTCCCTATTCCTCTGCCACCCACCTCACCTCTTTCTTCTTCGTCTACCTCTTCGGTAAACCTTATCGAACAACCTCCCCTCCTCCCCTCTCCCTTGAAATCGACATCTCTTCCATTAACACCTCCAGTCTCCGATGCTCCTGTATTTGGGCTCTGTCCTCAGGAATTTCCGCCGCTGCCTTCGAAGGCAAACGTTGTTTCGGTCAACCCTGGGCGCATGTCTGCCTCACGCGCTTGTCAGGATCCTTTTTCGTCTGCTCCTCCTCTGGAGCCCACTGCTCCACAGTTCCCTTGGGCTAACCGTCTTCGGCAAGCTTCACGCAACCTTTCTCGGCTCACCACGCCCACTTACTCCTCTGATGGCACTCCCCGAGTCAAGGTACCTAGCTCGGTGTTCAGAGAGGCTTCTAAAGCTTGGACAGGTTACATCGTAGGCCAATTTTACGGTATAGCTCCAAACACATCCAGGATCTTTCAGGCGCTTAACCCCATATGGGGTAGGAAAACCAGAATCACAGTCCGACGTCTGGGTGATTCGGCGTGTTTATTTTTTATCCCTGATCTTGCTACTAGAGAATGGGTACTAGAGGTTGGGATTTGGCGAGTTGCCGACGTGATGTTCACTCTCTCCGAGTGGTCTCCGACATCTACTTTGCGTAAACCCACCCTCAAATCTGCTCCGATTTGGGTTACCTTGAAGAATATCCCTCTTGAGATGTATTCTCTGCAAGGAATCAGTTATGTTGCCTGTGGAATTGGCGAACCGCTGCATACCGAGAGAATGAGACTCGACCCCCAACACATCAGGGAGGCTCGAATTAAAATCGAAATTCAACTAGGAGCTTCTCTGCCCAGTATTGTTGAAGTTGAGGACGAGACAGGAGAGGTGATCAAGGTTGATGTTAGCTACTCGTGGATTCCACCGCGTTGCCCAGGCTGCAACGAGTTTGGGCATAAGATTCAGTATTGCCCTTTTAAAAGATTGGACATTGCGACCTCAGAGCATCCTCCCCATCAACCGTCACGTCCGCCACTGCACACCGATAAAAAGCAGGAAGAGGTATATCCAGGTGACCCATCCTCCCCTGCAGATATACCACCAGCAAATGACCCACCGATACCCCCCTCTCATTCTCCACAACAAATCACATCCTCCCATCCCCTTTCCCCACCACTAAACAATCCTCCTCATTCTTCATCTCCAGTCGTGAACAACTCTCCCCTCAAGTTTTGTTTTGACTCAGAGGAGAAGTTGGTTGTTGAAACGCAAAGGCTACTTCGCTCCCGCTCAGTGGCAATTCCCCGATCCCTTGCAGACCCTCCGGATACAAAGAAGGGTCAGAAGGGTAAGGGTCGAGCCAATTAATCCACACTTGATCCCATGCGCTTTGCTTTTGCCTTTTGATCAAAATAAGACATATGAAGATCTTTTGTTGGAATGTTCGAGGCCTAAATGACACTTCAAAACAGCGGCATCTGAAGAATTGGATCGCCATGCACAAGCCTCTAATTGGGAGTTTTACTGAAACCCGTATTAGAGAAGAAACTGATGCCCTTCGTATTTCCCAATCCCTCTTCCCGGGTTGGTCTTTTGCAAACAATTACGGTTCAGCTCTTTTGGGTAGGATTCTGATAGCATGGGGTCCGGTGTTATCGGTGGTAGTCTTTTCATCATCAGCACAAATGATCACTTGTGGAGTATTTGAACCCTCTTCTTCAAGATATGTCACTATTTCTTTCGTATACGGACGGAACACGCCAACGGAACGTCGAGATCTATGGGCAGAAATCTCTAGCCTGGCTGCTAATGACTTAGTTTCTACTAGGCCTTGGATCCTAATGGGAGACTATAATCAAATTCTGAGGTCCTGCGATCATGGTTCAACAATCTCGCCTCTCCTACACCGATCTGGAATGTCTGAGTTCCAAGCTTGCCTCTCCAACAGTGGTCTCTTTGATCTCACAGTACGAGGTCAACACTTCACCTGGACAAACAACAACACAGTCAATCCGATTGTGCGGAAGCTGGACAGAGCACTAATCAACGAAGCTTGGATGCTTGCCTTCCCAGACTCTTTTGCATTATTCGAAGCTCCAGCCCCATCGGACCACTGTCCATGTGTTGTAACCATCCCTCCGGAAATTCCAACTAGAAAGAGGACATCTTTCAAGTTCCTACACCTCCTGCTAAAGCACCCAGACTTCGTTCCCTTAGTTCAACGAGAATGGGCGAAAGGCGACACCATCGGGACCTATATGTACCGACTATCACGGAAGCTCAAGAACCTTAAGTTTCACCTCAGAAGGCTGAACCAGACCTCTTTCAGTAACATTCAGTCTCGCTCCGCAACAGCTTTGGAGGCTCTCAAATCAGCGCAAGAAGCCATGCTGCAGAACCCCTCTCCCATTGCAGCAAGAAGGGAGGCCGAGTTGCGGACCTCTTGGTCTATTTTGGCTAATGCGGAGGAATCCTTCCTTCGCCAAAAATCCCGTATACGATGGCTAAAGGAGGGCGACCAGAATACCAAGTACTTTCACAGGGTATCAGTTGCGCGACGGGCTACTAACTCAATTCATTTCCTTCTCAATGATGCAGATGGCGGTGGATCACTTTGCTTCCATTCTCGCTGCACGTGATCATAACTTGATGGTCTGGTCTAGAGAAGATGCTAGAGAACTGATTGAATACCAGTGCACTGAATACACGGCTAGATGCCTCTCCGCCATTCCTTCAGATGAGGAGATCAAAGCTGAGGTTTTTAGTCTTCCTCTAAGCAAAGCACCGGGTCCCGATGGTTACACGGCAGAATTTTTTGTCGCATGCTGGGATAAAGTTGGTGCTGACCTAACTGCTGCGGTGAAAGAATTTTTCATAATGGGCAGACTTCTACGGGAATGGAACACGACGATGATTGCTCTAGTCCCAAAAACAAAAGGCGCAGATCGGCTTTCACTTTTTCGTCCTATCTCATGTTGCAACACTGCATACAAAGTTATCTCTCGGATCCTCGCAAAGAAACTAAAGCTGATGATGCATGATGCGGTACTCCCGAATCAAACTGCCTTCATCCCAGGGAGATCTATCACGGAGAACGTGCTTTTAGCCACAGAACTAGTGGCAGACTTTAGCACCAGAGGACGACCAAGCAGAGGAATAATCAAGGTTGACTTAAGTAAAGCTTTTGATTCTGTTGATTGGGCATTTATCCTGCGTATATTGCAGACAATGGAGGTTCCCCCGATTTTTCACCAATGGATCAAGGAATGCATCTCGACTACCTCTTTCTCCATTTCTATCAACGGCGAAACTGCAAGTTTCTTTAAAGGACAGAGAGGTCTTCGTCAAGGAGATCCTATCTCCCCGTATCTCTTTGTCCTTGCTATGGACACACTCTCCAGGTTACTCAATTTGGCAGTGACTAGAGGCGCTCTCTCTCTTCCGCCAAAATGTCGATCGCCCACTATCTCATCTATGTTTTGCTGATGATGTTCTAGTGTTCTCTGATGGTTCCTTCAGGTCACTACGAGCTATTCTGGATGTCTTTGACGAGTTCTATAAGATATCTGGTTTGCACCTCAATAAGGCTAAATCATGCTTATTTATGGACGGAAATGATACAGTGGTGGTGGAATCTCTATCACAACAGCTGGGTATCTCTCATTCCACTCTCCCGGTTCGCTATCTGGGACTACCACTCTCGCCGAGGAAGTGGAACGAAACCGAATGTGATCGTCTAAGGGACTTAATTCGAGGAAGATTAAACTCATGGACAGCGCGTCACCTGTCCTTTGTAGGCCGTCTACAGCTATTGAAATCAGTTATCTTCAGTATCATTACCTTTTGGGCATCAGCGTTTATTATCCCAAGTCGATGTACAAGAGATCTCGAACAAATGTGCTCGGCCTTCTTGTGGAAAGGAACCATCGAATCTGCTGAAGGAGCTAAAGTGGCTTGGTCCTCTGTCTGCACGCCTAAAGCTCAGGGTGGTCTCGGACTCAGGAAAATCGTCGATTGGAACACTGTTTTGTGCTTGAAACTCATTTGGAACCTGTTCAGCAAAGCAGGGTCCTTGTGGGTAGCTTGGGTAAAGGCACATTTGATTAAGGGGAAGCCTTTTTGGCTGCTCAAAATTGGGGGCAGGGTGGTCTCGGACTCAGGAAAATCGCCGATTGGAACACTGTTTTGTGCTTGAAACTCATTTGGAACCTGTTCAGCAAAGCAGGGTCCTTGTGGGTAGCTTGGGTAAAGGCACATTTGATTAAGGGGAAGCCTTTTTGGCTGCTCAAGATTGGGGGAAAAGGAAGTTGGGCATGGAGGCGTTTATTAAAGCTGAGGCCTTTATCTAGGAAATTTCTGCGTTGTCAAGTGAGGAACGGGAGATCCTGCAGTTTCTGGTTCGATAGTTGGCTCCCTTCTGGGCCACTAATTGATATCCTTGGTGACTCGGGCCCTCGCCTGCTCGGTATTCCAAGGCTTGCCAATGTCTCCTCCATCTTCTCCGAGGATGGATGGCATTTACCGCCAGCTCGTAGTCAGGTTGTAGAATCTGTCTACATAGAGATCCTGGGAGCAACAAGGTCCCCCTGATGAACACGATGACATCTTCTATTGGTCGCTGGTCCGTAACCGACTGCCTACCGGACGTAGGCTTGCGGCATGGGGCCTGAATGTCTCTACTACATGTTCCTTGTGTGGCGAGCAAGTGGAGGACATAGACCACTTGTTCTTCCAATGCTCGTACTCTTCGACGGATAAACGCAGATGCGAAGAAGAAGCTTGAATCTGCCATGAACGCTCACATGGACACCTGCGTGAGGTTCAACAAGCTGGGTAGGGTTTACCGGCTCTGTTCCAAGCGGAGGCCACGAGAGAGATGTTTAGGAAAAGGGTTAAGTCCATTAGCCTTAGGGCATTGCCAGAAGCTCCAACGGTATTCCCGCCATCACCAGTGACATTAAAAAACTCTGCATTGATTAGATATATATATATATATGTGTATATATATACCTATATATATTTAGGCTTTACGTGTAGTAATTATGTATTTATGTTTGTAGTACCTATATGCATGCATGCTAATGATTAGCTCTCTGTTTTAGGGTGAGAGATATTTCACTCGCTCTACGGGTTTTCATTTCTTCTATCCAAACTATAATCGCACTAAATGATATTCAAAGTCAATAAAATATTTTTTTTAATAAAAAGCAATAAACCATATAAACGTACCGTTTGAATTATTTACGGTGTTTTGCTACATATAACGCAATCGTATTTTCAATGTTATAATTATTATTCGTATTATCATCATATCATTTTATTGTCTTGTAAAGGAAGAAAAGGAAACAAAAGCAACTTTTTTCTTTAACTCACGGTAATTAAACAATCAAATATCTTATAATCATCACATATATCTTTATATTTGTAAAAGTTCCTTTAGCACTAATATATTCTTTTTATATTGAATTGTGAAGCTGTTATTAAAAACGTAAAAAGTAGCAGAGTATTGAGAAAGAGCAAAAGACCATTCGTGTATAAATCAAATAATTCAAAATTCTACGTATAGACATAATAAAATTCTAATTTTGATAAAACATTTCAGACTTCCTTTACAAGACAATAAAATGATATGATGATAATACGAATAATAATTATAACATTGAAAATACGATTGCGTTATATGTAGCAAAACACCGTAAATAATTCAAACGGTACGTTTATATGGTTTATTGCTTTTTATTAAAAAAAATATTTTATTGACTTTGAATATCATTTAGTGCGATTATAGTTTGGATAGAAGAAATGAAAACCCGTAGAGCGAGTGAAATATCTCTCACCCTAAACCAGAGAGCTAATCATTAGCATGCATGCATATAGGTACTACAAACATAAATACATAATTACTACACGTAAAGCCTAAATATATATAGGTATATATATACACATATATATATATATATCTAATCAATGCAGAGTTTTTTAATGTCACTGGTGATGGCGGGAATACCGTTGGAGCTTCTGGCAATGCCCTGTCTAAGGCTAATGGACTTAGCCCTTTTCCTAAACATCTCTCTCGTGGCCTCCGCTTGGAACAGAGCCGGTAAACCCTACCCAGCTTGTTGAACCTCACGCAGGTGTCCATGTGAGCGTTCATGGCAGATTCAAGCTTCTTCTTCGCATCTGCGTTTATCCGTTCTTCTTCTTCTTCGCTATCTCCTCCTTCACTGCCGCCTCTGATCGCAAAGCCCGCATATCCATTTCTCCATGAACTTGTCGTGAAAGCACACTATGTACTCGAATTTATAGAACTCTAATGTTAATTGAATGTAACAAAAAGTTAACGGTACATTAACCCAAAAAATAAAAAGTTAACTGTATCTTGACCCAAATTCTCATTTTTTTTAAATGTCTCGGTCAAAACATTGACTGATTTAACTTAATATATTAAATAGAGATGAAAGACAATGTATATAGTCTTTTTAAAATAAAATATAATACATGTGTAAATGATTTTACATTTAACGTTATTTGAACCTCGTTATCATATATGAAAAAATCTGAAAATGATAAAATACATTTAAAAGATATTAAATTTAGTTGAATCTACGTCCTCATATCATAATGCACATGAATATATTTACTTATTATGAGTAACAAAAGTGTTTTAAACGTAATTTATATTAGTATAATTTTTATCGTTTAACTAACTATATCGAGATAATACATACTTAGAATCAACATTAGTTTCTATACATGTAACTTAAAAGACATTAAAATTAATTATATTCTCTATGTATTAACTTTTTATGATGGAATTAAATATCTTATTGCAATATATATAAAGACACATTTTAAAAGAAAAACGTATTGAAAAGTATATGTATATATCGCATAATATTATTATAATGGTAAAAAAGAATATGGAACACATAATTCATAAATGCAATGCGTTGGATTATATTTCCTATACATTAACTTTTTATGATGTTATTAAATATCGTATTGCAATATATATAAATATACATCTTAAAATAAAAACGTATTGAAAAGTATATATATCACATAATATTATTACATAATATGGACGGAAATGATACAGTGGTGGTGGAATCTCTATCACAACAGCTGGGTATCTCTCATTCCACTCTCCCGGTTCGCTATCTGGGACTACCACTCTCGCCGAGGAAGTGGAACGAAACCGAATGTGATCGTCTAAGGGACTTAATTCGAGGAAGATTAAACTCATGGACAGCGCGTCACCTGTCCTTTGTAGGCCGTCTACAGCTATTGAAATCAGTTATCTTCAGTATCATTACCTTTTGGGCATCAGCGTTTATTATCCCAAGTCGATGTACAAGAGATCTCGAACAAATGTGCTCGGCCTTCTTGTGGAAAGGAACCATCGAATCTGCTGAAGGAGCTAAAGTGGCTTGGTCCTCTGTCTGCACGCCTAAAGCTCAGGGTGGTCTCGGACTCAGGAAAATCGTCGATTGGAACACTGTTTTGTGCTTGAAACTCATTTGGAACCTGTTCAGCAAAGCAGGGTCCTTGTGGGTAGCTTGGGTAAAGGCACATTTGATTAAGGGGAAGCCTTTTTGGCTGCTCAAAATTGGGGGAAAAGGAAGTTGGGCATGGAGGCGTTTATTAAAGCTGATGCCTTTATCTAGGAAATTTTGGGCATGGAGGCGTTTATTAAAGCTGAGGCCTTTATCTAGGAAATTTCTGCGTTGTCAAGTGAGGAACGGGAGATCCTGCAGTTTCTGGTTCGATAGTTGGCTCCCTTCTGGGCCACTAATTGATATCCTTGGTGACTCGGGCCCTCGCCTGCTCGGTATTCCAAGGCTTGCCAATGTCTCCTCCATCTTCTCCGAGGATGGATGGCATTTACCGCCAGCTCGTAGTCAGGTTGTAGAATCTGTCTACATAGAGATCCTGGGAGCAACAAGGTCAACCCCTGATGAACACGATGACATCCTCTATTGGTCTGACAAGCATTCTTCGAACTGATTCCCGAACTTCAATACAGCCAAGGCCTGGCATCAGCAGCAAATGCTTGCGTCATCGGTCCCCTGGCACAAAACTGTATGGTTCTCGCGATCCATCCCCAAGCACTCGTTCCTCACATGGTTGGCTGTCCGTAACCGACTGCCTACCAGACGTAGGCTTGCGGCATGGGGCCTGAATGTCTCTACTACATGTTCCTTGTGTGACGAGCAAGTGGAGGACATAGACCACTTGTTCTTCCAATGCTCGTACTCTTCGACTATTTGGCCAAACATTCTCCAGCATTCTGGTATCACGGTTCCTAGGCACCACTCTTTTGAGGAGAGCATCAATTGGCTGGTTTAATGCCCAGGTAATCAGCACATTAAGCTCATGGTGCACTTAATTTTCCAGGCCTGTGTATACTACTTATGGCAGGAAAGAAATTCAAAGATCCATAATGGGGTGCAGAAACACCACACAATCATTCGGAAAGATATTCTCAGGCTATTCCGCTGTAAAATCTCCGTTATACAATCTCAGAAGATGGGACTAATCCAAGGAGACACTCTTCTCACGACTTGGTTTACCTTATTTGATCCATTATTATGAGTTCTGGCTGTATTGTTTGTGCTAGCGGATGAAATGATTGTACTATCCACTACTTTGTAAAGTTTGAGTTCATATATGAAATTACAGTTAACAAAAAAAAAAAAAAAGGCGAATTTCTCAAGTAGTGCGTGTGTGCTACAGATCATATACTCATATGTTTTGATTTTTTTTATGATTAACAAAATATACTTGAGATGTGGATATATATATATATATATATATAATTATATATCATCAAGCAATAACGTGTTATTATTAGTTTTTTTTTTTTTGGTAAAGTGTTATTATTAGTTGAAGACCAAAATATGCCAACATGCTTTTTTTCCGGGATTTTTTGGTCCAATATGTACCCAATAATGATGTGTTATATTCTTACGATATATATATATATATAAATCATATCACAAAAAATATCAGATTGTGCATTGTGTATCTATAAGATGGGATGAGGGATACAAAATCCGCGGGAAAAATCTTTTATCCAAAACGTGTCACTTCTCAGCCACTGAGAAACTGCCACATCAGCACCAGAAACCTTTCCTCTTATCTTCCTCCTGCTCCACTAATCTCCCTCTTTCTCGTAAATCTAACGCTCTGCTTCCACACTCCTCATATCCCTTCGCCTTCCTCTCGTTTTCTCCCCAATTCATCCAAAAAAACCCTAGTTTTCGAATCTCGAATTTGGAGCAATGTCTCTCACGGTCCCGACGAATCTCGTGCTCAGGCCGAGATCCAACTCTCTCTCTCAGTGCGTCCCCAAGTCATCCGCCGCCGCGAGATTCGTCTGCTCCGCCGCTTCCTCCGACGAAAAATCAGCTTCTCCGGCGGCCCCGTTGAAGGCGTTCTCGGCGGCGGTTGCTCTGTCATCCATCCTCCTGTCGGCTCCGATGCCGGCGGCGGCGGATATCTCCGGCCTGACGCCGTGCAAGGAGTCGAAGCAGTTCGCGAAGAGGGAGAAGCAACAGATCAAGAAGCTCGAGTCCTCGCTCAAGCTCTACGCTCCCGACAGTGCTCCCGCCCTCGCCATTAACGCTCAGATCGAGAAGACCAAGCGAAGGTTCGTTCCCTCCTGAACTTTGAAACTTAGTCATTTCGCTTGAATTTCCATTTGTTTATATAATTACCCAAAAGGAACCGCACGATTCTCAAAGTGAAAAGAATCTAAACTCGCGAACATAACGAAACTGGTTGTGATCACATTCGAAGTTTATTGCAGAAACCACCGATCGAAAATGGCTCTTTTTGCAGAATCAAACGAGGAAACTAGTCAAACCAAAACTATTTCTACTCAATTCCATGGATTTCACGTATACGTTTTGGAAACATATACGATCTCACGGATGGTATTGTCAGGTTCGACAACTACGGGAAATACGGGCTGTTGTGTGGATCGGACGGGCTGCCACACCTTATAGTGAACGGGGACCAGCGCCATTGGGGAGAATTCATCACACCAGGGCTCCTCTTCCTCTACATAGCCGGATGGATCGGGTGGGTCGGGAGGAGTTACCTCATCGCCATTAGCGACGAGAAGAAGCCCGCGATGAAGGAGATCATTATCGATGTCCCGTTAGCCACCCGCCTCCTCTTCCGTGGCTTCATCTGGCCCGTCGCCGCCTACAGAGAGTTCCTCAACGGCGACCTCGTCGTCAAGGACGTCTAAGGTTCTTCCCCTTCTCCCTCGTTTGTAAACTCCCCGTAATTCTCAATACACTTCGGTTCGGTTTTTCATCATGTGTACGTATAATTAATGTTGCTACTGTCTTACCCTTTCCGGCAAAGTACATGAAAACGTTCTTCCTATTGAAAAAAACAAAAATCTCTGCGAGATCATGAATTTTCTCCTCCATTCTCTTGTTTGAATCACATAAACTCTCCATAATTAGGTCGCTACTTTCTTGCCCTTTTGGCCCAAATATATGAAAAAGTTCTTCTCCTATTGAAAATCTCTTTGAAATTATACGAATCTTCTTCCATTCTCTTTCTTGAATCTTGAAAACTGTCCATAATTCGCAATATTTTTTTTCATCAAGGGCGTCTAGATTCTTCACTTCTTTTTCTTGAATTAAGTATACTCTCCATAATTCTCAATATTCTCCTTCAAAAGATTGGCTCTTCATGTGTGTGTATAACGTACCCTTCTTGTCGACAAAATACATAAAAACGTTCTTCCTAATGAAAAATCTCTGTAAAATTTATGAAACTTCTGCTTTAATTAGAGAGATAAAGAACGTATCTGAGATAATTAAGGGGTCGGTTGTGGGTTTTTTGCTCAATGATCGCCGTAAAGAAGATGGTCATTCGATCATTCACACTACCACAATTCATTGCAAATACTAAATATGATATATTATATGAAGAAGGGGGCTCACACTCCTCATGGAAACGGGCACCGTTTTGAATTATCAATCATCACATGATCAATATATAATTTGGTGACATACAAGCACCCAAACACAAAACAAGTATATTATATATATATATATATATATATAATTTATGTATATATAAGTAATATATGAAACCTAAACATATATATATATATATATATATATATATATATGTTAATGGTTTAACCCTGTGTATCCAAAACACAGAGTAGTTCTAACTTCTAAGCCCTGTATCCCAAAATAAACAAGGAAAAAAAAAGAAAAGTAAAAAAATGAACTATCAAGACCACATGGACTCACCCAAGCTGGCATGGTCAACCATGTGGTCAAACATGGGATTGTTGACACGTGGGCTCACCTGGTTCGACGATGGCGAGCCACTGCTGCTCGGGCTGCTTGAGTGGCTGGCCGAGTGGCGCACCCTCAGGTGAACAACTTCGGCCTGAGCCATGGCTAACTGGGTCTGCAACGCATCGATCTGCTGTTGAAGTGACGAAATTGCCCCCACGCATCCGTACACTGGGTCCCTCACTCTTGCGTTGGCTTCATAGACCATGCTGCTCACCGCGTCTCCACGCTGGTGGACAGGAAGTTCCTGTTGAGTTCCAACACTTGAGATGTTTGGTCCTTTTTTTTTAAAAAAAAAATGAATGGTGAATTGAACTAAATCTTATTGTAGAAAGGTTTGGTTCTTTTTTTATTCAATCTAAATACTTTTTTTTACTGTTTTAGGTTGAAATTGGGAAAGAAAAAACAAAATCAAGAATATAGTGAATTGGACTTATATAAGATATGATGTATGTATGTGATTGGGCGCATGCGTAAATCATATTTCTCAAAAGTAATGAATGCATATATGAATTGATGAAGAGAAAAGGACAGAGAACAATGGGGGGGGGGGGAGAGAGAGAGACCTGAAGCATCTTGTTGACATTGCTTGCACCGAAGACCTTATGGACGTTGGCAAATTTGCGAGGCTCATCCGCCGGAAAATATGGAGCGAAGACGCAATCCTCGCCGCATCTCCTCCGCAGCAGCTTGCACGCAGCGCACGGCGGCGACGTCCCCTGTTTCCGATGTCCTCCTTCCTTCATGTCTATCTCCTCCCCGGCCCCCAACGCGCCACGTGCCCCCGTCTCTCTATATATATATATATGTATGCACACACACAATCACAAATGTGTGTATATGTTTTGTGATGGTTGAATCTCAGCCGTCGGATGGACACCAAACGCTTGTGATAAGATCCACAGCGACGATAAAGCTATAGCCATGACATTTAACAAGTCTGTCGAAGTGAGGGGAGGGAGGTGGAGGACTTTATAGAGTGGAAAATGGAAAAAAGAAAAATGAAAAATAGTTAAAAGCAGGAGAAGATTTCTCGGTTTGGGTGGAAAACTGTTATGAAAAAAAATCGAGAATTAAAAAAAAAAGTCAGCACATCTGAGGGTGGGACCCATAGATAGTACAACCTTTAGATTTTTGGTCCATTAAGACAGCGACATCTCATGAACTTCTTTTTTGGCGCCAATTCTTCAGATTGTGTTTTCTTCCAATCTAATTACGTGTTTCTAAAATAAAGAAGAAGGCATCGAGTTTAGAGAACATTATCAGTGTCCGAGTTCATATGAATTCAACTCAGTTGATCGATCATCTGAGTTATCTCTCTCTCTATCTCGCCCTCTCTCTCTTTCTCTCTCTATATATATGTATAAATATAGATCGAAAATAAAGTCGTGATAGATATGATTTGTAGCTCCAACTAACATAAAGATGTTGATGTTTGTGTATTTTCCCGTGGGACAAATTGGATTATCACTTTGGGCATGTTTCATCTTTTATTTATTTTCTGTTTTTTCTTTTTTTTTTCTTATTGATAATATAGTCTTATATTAAAAAAAAAAAAAGATAATATATAGTCTTCCACTTTTCATGAGATGGGCATGGATAAGCGAAATGTGTAGGCTGGTGATTGTGAATGTAATCATTATTCCTATATTTTTTTTTATAAGACCCACCTACGTCTATATTCTCCAACCAAATCATATACTTGTTTACATAAGTTTTCATAGAGCTCCACGGACTTATATCATACGTAACATGTATATCGTTTAGTGAGTTCATGCAGGACTTAAAAAGCATAACGTACGTATGTTTTGACAGACTTTAATACACATTTTTAATCCATGTTCTCAGGCGTCGTCTAGTGTAAGAAACAAAAAAAAAATCTCTTACCATGATAAAAGCTACTTAAAATTAATAAGCATATACGTTACATTTATGTATGTATGCATGTATGTATGTATGTATGTATGTATGTATGTATGTATGTATGTATGTTATGTATGTATGCATGTATGTATGTATGTATGTATGTATGTATGTATGTATGTATGTATGTATGTATGTATGTATGTATGTATGTATGCATGTATGTATGTATGTATGTATGTATGTATGTGTGTATGTATGTATGTAAAGAAATAGATAAAGTGGAAAGAAACGACATGCACGCTGTGTTGGGGAGGAGAAGAACAAAGGGCGCCCATAGCTTACTACGTTAATTTGGTGGAGATTGCTTTGCAATTGTGGTATTAGGTATGTGAAATATATATTCCCCGTTTTACTATGTATTAATATTTATTTAATTAAATTGAATTTTCGTCGGAAAATCGCTGTTGTTTGGAGTTCAGTCTCATTTATACTTGGATATGCAAAACTTCCTCGGTGTTTCCACCGATATCTTCACAGTAAATGAACATGCATCATTATTTATTAATATATTTGTATATATATATATATATATATATATATATTGCAGTTCTATGAATTATGTGGCTTTAAGATACATAAATATTAAATATACATAATATTATACACATGCATGTAATTTCTTTTTCCACCTAAATGTTTTTTATAACTAGGAGGTTCACTGTGCCATTTAATCTCTATAAATCCGGATTCAGTTTTTAATCACATAATTAATTGTGATCTCTATTCCCTACTAGTGGAATCCAACCCAAAATTTTAAAATAATTTTGTCATATCTCAACCACTACTAGATTACGACTAGTAGGTTTTTCGACCTAAATGTTGAAATAACTGAATAATAAATGATATAGAAAACTATATAAATACAAAATAAAATCTGTGCGCATATGATTTGTGTGTGTGTGTGTTGCAAAGTTTCCTTCCGACAACCCACGATGGGGTCCCCTCTACTAAGTAAACCCGATGTCGTTGTAGCTAAGTAGGCCGGTTCCATTGTTCTTCTATATTGGGCATGCAAGAAAAAATTGATTAGAGATGATTATAAATAATTTAAATTTAAAGATTTTATAATCGGAAAAGTACAAAGAAACAGTAAAAGGACAGAAAATGTTGATTAAATGTAGCCTTATTATAAATAACATGAAATGTTTTGGTCCGTGCGTGTCGGTTTCAAGAGATATCAATCCCCTCTATTAATTCCCAAATCTTCATTTTTCTAGACTTTGATTTTTTTTCATTAAATAAAAATAAAAACGCGTCAACAGGTCACTGCTCAACACCCAAAAAATCAACTTCCATAAATTTGTATATATATAAAATAACATGGTACGTGTGTGTCGTCGTGCGTTTTATATTTCATATAATATAAGACTTGTTATAACGAATAAAATAAAGAAATAAGAGTCGAATATTTTGCTCTGCTTCGAAATATTTCCTTTTTTATAATCACGTCTCCAAAAATTCAATGCATCATTTTTATTTTTTAATTTATAGTGTATATTGATAAGGTTAAGTGTCTCTGTGTTAATGGAAATATGTACATACGGATGGACATGTGAAGTAGAAATAAAATATATAATGTGTTTAGACAGACAAAACACAATATTTTAAGATTCGTATTATAGAGCTATATATATACACACGCAAAATATTTAATATTTATAAGATTAGAATGCGTTTGGAAATGCATTTTAAAAGGGGATTAAGTGGTAGTTGGAGTTCTTACAAGAAAATCAAAATAAAAGATATTTTAACGCAAAAATATAAGTAAATCAAATGTTGTTTTTGTGTGCATTTTATATTCTCATGTTTTTTTGGTATAATTTATATTGTCATGTTAAACATTATTCTTACATATGTTAAAAGAATATGGTGTTTATGCATCGAATCTGTTTGAACGAAATTTCATATGCCATAATCATTAAACAAAACAACTTCATGTGTATGTTTCTGCATCCGAACGTTAAGCAAAATCAAGGACATGCTATATAATTAGGACGTGAAAATAAATTAGAAATAATTATTTATCATTTGTCACCTTCATGCACGGGGAATAGTACTGTCGTAAATTTGCATAAGGTCTTCATATCAGACTCATAACCTTTAAAGAAAATTAAAAACTACGTAAATATTTGATGACAATACATAAAAATGGAATTTTAATATATATATAATTCCATGAACTTCCCATCGTTTGATCTTAAATCCCATTGTTAATTTTTATTTTGGTCTCTCTCTGTCTCTCTCTTTCACATAAATTTACATTCCAATATAGTTTCAAAAGTTTATAGAAGGTGGATGGAATTTTTTAATATATATATATATATGTCATATATATATAGAGAGAGTGGTAAAAAGGTGGATGAGACAATTACATGATGTAGATAGAATTATTACACAATGGTCAACTCTTGTTCGGATTAATTAAAAATGTAGTGGTGGTTAATTAGTCATGGAATGTCGTTTAGGACAACAACCACCCTACCCATTGTTCTATTGCACACACGCAAACAAAACAGGAAATAAAAACAATTCATTTTGATTGGCTCGAATTATAATTATATAAATATATCATTGATGTTGGATATGTGAGTATAATTTTACTGTATGATTAAATTTAGGAATATGATAGAAATTAGTATTTTAGCTTTTAAAAAACAAAAGGTTAAAAGAGAATAACTGTCTTTAGACGGTTGAAGGAGCAGAAAAAGAGACGAAAGCAAATCCAAAGCGACCCTCTTTCGGTTGATGGAGGAAAAAAAACAGCAAAAAACAATATAAATAATAATAATAATAAACCAAGATTTCTCTCCTTTTTATTCATTTTTAATCTCTCATATTATAAATGAAATTTAAAAATAAGACGAATTTCTTTTATATAATTATGGGCCCGACATTCGTCCTAACGTAATACTTACAATTGAGTTCTATTTATTAGCCCTTAGAATTTTAATTATTTGTTTAGTTTTCATATTATATTTTTGTAATTTGGGCTATTATTTCTATAAAAAAAATGACAATATATTTTTTCTCTGCTAATCTTCTAGAATTTATATCTTATATGAGAATATTCCTTACATGTGTGATCTTCTGTATTTTTATTATTTAAACTGTAGAATATATATCTTATGAGAATATTTGTTGTAGTCTAAACGAGGATGTATATAATTTGTTTTTTATTTTCAAGAAACATACATCATGTAAAAAAATTATTGTTTAATTAATCATATTTTTGTACCATTTTATACTTTAAAATGGATGGTCATGATCCTCTTGCCATCATTTCCAACCACTAGCTATTTTTTATAATTAAAGCATGAAATCATATATATATATATATATATATATATATATAATTAATATGTAACAGTAAGGGTAGCATAAAGGAGATATCTACTGATCATTCCTGTAAGATCCTGCCTGGGTGCTTGACGAAAACAAAATCACAAGGGATGCTATGATGACGTTGACCTTTAAATTTATTCACCTCAAATTTAATATAAAATAAAAACTAATATAAATATGAAATTTAATAATTATCTGTATTAATTTTATGGAAAGATTATGCGTTTGAGTGTTGGCAAGGGGAACTTCGGATGACATGACACCATTGGAAGAGAGAGGTTAGTGCCTTGCGTTTACACAAAACGTAAAAACAAAAATATTGAAATAAAAATCAATATAAAAATTAATTTTCTATGGAACCCCCACTTGTATAAAGTAATTAACACAATGATTAATTTAGAAGTCCACTTTAATCAATCAAAATAAAATCGACCGGGACCAATTAATAATGTCCGTTTTTAGACAAACTGAAACCAGCCAACATGTACAAGAAAGAAATTAGCTAGTGATTGGGTGTCAATCAGGCTCGGTCGGGTCGTTTGTACTCGATTTGAGGGTTTCGGGTTAGAGTTCAGACTCATCCGATGTTTTGGGTCTACACAATCAAGTCCGAAAGTCCGATCTTATAGATTTCAGGTTTAGACTAGACCAGACCGGATCGGATTGGTCCATTCAATTCTTTGTAATTTTTTTTTTAATTTTTTAAAAAATATCCGACTTTTAGATAGACCCAAATTCGATTTGAGTCTGACTCGAATTTGTTTCGAATTAATAAAGTTAAATCCGAAATGTGATATTTTTTTGTGGGTTTGGATCGGACTTTGAACATAAAATTGGTAGCCCTTGATACTCTCTGTGAAGTTGAATAAAAATGGTTTCGTAATTTATTTTAATCGCAAAAACACGAAATAAAACTAGAAAAGGATAAGATTTATCCGTCTTTTAGAGTTTTCCTTTATTTTATTTAGAATAAAAAAAATCATTTTTCTCCGACAAATTAATTAGGTTATGTAAAACAACGACAAAAATAATATTCGTACACCATTAGCGTAACTATTTTTTTTATGTGAGCATTTCCATCGCCGAGCCCACAATATATTGTAATGATCTTTAGCAAGAAAGAAGATACGATAAGATTGAGAACGCATCTTATGCATGCATGTACATGTCCTTAATACATAATATTATCACTTTGTTTTTTAAAGATTAATTTTATAAAAAAAAATATAAACTTTGTATATATATATATATACATAATACATATAATCATCATAATGGCCAAACGATATACGTTATAAGATAATTTTATAATAAAAATGTTACTTACGCCATTCGTTTAGTGGGAGGTGGGCCGTATGTACATTTAGGTAGTCATTAAACAATATAAACGTAAATCTAAACGCATGTTGTTATGTACAACAATTTGGAATTACCTGTCATCATTCTTACGCTCTTTAATGATATACTTTTTTTTGGTGCTTACTTTCTTCATGTTTACTGCTTAAAAAATATTAATTTTTTAGTCTAGTATAGTTCAACCGGTGAAATAGAAGTCTAAAAAATCTGTTCTTTCTCGAATTCGAATTTCAAATTTGGAGAAAGATCATATAATCCAAATCAAATAATTGGTTTTTGGTCTAAAATATGCGGTTATCCAAAAAAGTATACGATAATATTCACGTGGAAGTACCGTACCGCTGCATTTTAATTTAATTTTATTGACTTGAATACCAAGAAAAGTATATATACCGATCTTTGTATAAATATATGTCGCAAGTAATAATTATATCTCCTTGGTTTTCATTCGTTTTTACTTGGGCTTCAAAACCATTATTGATACATTTACCCTCTCAATTATATACGTATATAATATATTATAATTTTTTTAAAAAAAAATCCTTTACTCCAAATAAATATATGCATATAATTTTACGACTTTATAATTGGGAAAACTTGGCCTAAAATTAGGTCCGAACCCCAAATCAATAAAAATTACCAATTATAGACACCAAATGTTTTCCAAAATCGTAAAGGAAAAAACTGTTTGGAGATTATTATTTTAAGAAACTCAGGACCCATGAGGATTATAGTCACACTTTTGGTCGGTAATATATACATATATACAGGGACCCATTAGGATACACGTAGGACATGATGCCCAATGAAGAATGGACAATGAAATTGCCAAATAATAATCTGGCGTGTAAATATTCTTACCAAGCAAATCAGAAGTTTCATGAAATGAAGCACCATTACATTTTTTTCATATGTATTTAAATTCTGGAATTCGATGATTGCTATTAATTAGGGTGGTAAATTTGGTTAAAAATCAAATAACTTTTAAAACCCAATAAAAAAAATAATCGAAAATTTCTTTGAAAAATAAGTATTTATCAATAAAAACAAAAAATAAATCGAAATGGAATCAAACCAAATCGGTTCAATTTTAAATAATCACATATAACCGCTCCTTTTTAACATTTGACAAGAGAAAAGTAATGCATCAAGCATATAACCGGATCAACCGGATTGATCTGACGTCTCGGTTAAATTAACTTAACCGGTTCAACCGGGCTTGGAGCAACTGATCACTAAAAGCCCATCTTTTATGGCCCATTTTATATGGGCCACATTTTTACCCAGCAAAGAGATTAAGCCCATCGTGTACTAAATAAAACTCTTGTGATGCCAATAATGTAAAAAAAATAAAATCCAATTCTTACAATTAATTTATTTTTTGGATAACTTAACTCGTATAAAACAATATACAAATAAATAGTTTCTTATTACAATAATTATTTCTCTCTAATTTTATAAAATGATACTAATATTCATAGGTCTCAATAAAATATATATATATCCCAAATAGATATTAAAAAAATTCTGTAATCAACGAATAATTCGTATAACAAACTCTTATGTTATAAATCAGAGGAAAAGTGATGCTGACGTGGCGAAAAAGGCTTTTCAGTGTCCTGTCTTAAAGGACGAAATGGACATCTGCATATATTTTTTTTCCCGCCGTAGAAGAAACAAAATACACCTATTTATATTTGTCCAATTATTGAGGCTATTTTCGTAACTTCAGCCGTGTCGGTCAACAATGAACATGTGCTTTCGGATTCGTCTCCTCAAACATTAAATGCACACCCTTATATATATATTTTTTGTCGTTCATAATTTGTATTACGCATAAAAAAGATAAAATTTCATTTAAGGGATACAAAAGCTCAGTTGCATTATATCTCCTAAACCCTAAAACATACCAAACATTCTGAGATGGAATATCAAATTGATCTTATATTTGTTGATTTGAATTGATGTATATGTCATTATTTGGATTCCATTCATACTCTTGATTTTTTTTTTAAAAATTTATAGTTTGCGTTGGGGTTTTGTGCGAGTCATTATGATGGCAGCATGTCAACCACTTAATATATATGATACATGCATGCATGGCTAAAAAGGAGATTCATATATCATATATGTATTCTTTTTATTTAAATTTGAGGTTTGATAAAGCATATGCGATGCGCAGCTTAACATATGATTTGATCCACCACCTCTCTCTCCCATGCAAGTTTTGTGATGATGTAGACCGACTATTTCTTTTAACGAAATATTATATAGTTTCTCCTTTAAATTTTAATTAGACTGTTGAAGATTTACAACAAATAAATATATTAGGCGGAACATTTGCATACATGATGCATGCCTATATGTCCATTTGCGGAATAGTGGAACGTATTTATAGAATTAATGAGAGTTTGAATCCAGTAAATAAATTAAGCTTTGAATATATTTGGTTGCATCTCCAAAATATAGTAAATCTCTAATACTGTATATCCGAAATAGTGTTATGTGTCTTCTAATAATTTCCAAACAATAATGACAAGGCTATATTTCCAAAATCATCACGAGATGTAATGATTTTTCTGACCACCCATGCAAACATACGTGATTGACGTACCCATATATTATATATATATATATATATATATGTGTGTGTGTGTGTGTATACATGTAAGTATATGCATATGGGGATAGCACACACACTACGGTTTGGAGTTTAGAATAGGATAGGATTATATTGAAATTGTCGTAAGCTTTAAACAATCATGACACCTATGCATACGCTCTCAAACTTTTTTTTTTTGTTTCTCGTGAAATTATCAAATTAAAGACATTGAGAATATGATGTATATATGCAGGAAAAAATAGGCCATGAAATATTTTACTGTCTGTACCAAAAATCAGACAGAACCAAGACAAAACCCTACAACATTGACTGACCAATACAGATTACAGAACAATAAATTGGTTTGACCAAATTCAACACAATAATAAAATATATATATATTTTTTTAAAAAGAACAAGAGAAGACAGTAAGATCGATTATTTCTAAGTCATATATAAACAAAAATGTGTTATTGGTTACACTTAATAGCTGCTTCATTGAGCATGCAATGCATGGAAACACATGTAGAACGTAAAAAAATCAAAGCGAATTCATAAATTTATATGTACCTGCAAGTGCATCGAATGAAATCTTGGACTATCTCCGGGTTTTTCCTTCTGTCCTGGTCGTTAATAAATCACTTCATCATCTACTAAAGAATGACATCACAGTGATTATAACCACATATATATATATTATATATACACGTACATATGTGTGTACGATTATGGTGGACCTCCTTGATGCTGATTATTATGTTGATAATGATGAGAAGAAGCTAAAGCGAAGACGGAGTTAGCAAGCTTATCAATGGCGTCCACTAACCCATTCATGCTTTGTCTGTTCACCTCAGCCTTTGATTCCTCGATCTTTAGCATTCTCTCTTTGAAATTCACAGTCTCTCTGTGTCTCTTGTCTTGTCTCTCTTCACATGCCCTAATCGCGTCTGCTATCACCGACGCGCTTTTCGAAATCGCTTCCCCGACCGCGTCGCTCCCACCGCTCTCCTCCGTCACCGGAGCGCCGCCGCCGTCGCCGCTTGGACCTGCTTCCGCCTCTGATCTCCTCCTCCGTTTTGCCGGCGATGACGTGTCTAAAGACTCACTCACATATCAGAATTTTGAACTACTACCCATCTTCAAGAATGCCGAAAATATACGAACCCGATGCTTGTATCAGTCTCTATATTCATAAAGATGTGACATTTTCTTTTCATTTTATATAACAATTATATTATTCTAACAATCCGAGGCTTAAGTTTGAACATTTTTGTATCGCTTTTACATGGTACACCACAACATGTCACATCGTTTCTAATATATTAGGGTTTCCTTCGGCAGATTAGCATGAATTATCACGTGGTTTGAATTGAAATGCCGAGAAGTTTGACAAAATGTGAAAAAATGCCCAACTTGGAGCTATCAAAGAGTGAGAAGAGAGAGAAAGAAGATCAAGGTACCTACTGTGGGCAATATTGGCTGAGCATGAAAAGAAAGCGGTGGCGGAAGAGGAACCGTTGGAGACTGATGGAGAAATCCTGGAATTTGGTCACTTACTCCGCCGCCGTCTCCACTTCCGGAAGACAAACCCTTCTTCCCGACAACCTCAACCAAGGCGTAGTATATCTCAGACAGCATATTACTCGGCAAGTTCCTCTCTTTCCTCTCGCTCTTCTCCATCTTCCAATACGAAGAGGCTGAGGCTGAAGACGATTCCTCCACCGTTCGCCTCTCGAGCTCCCTGATCTTCTTGTAATCCCTCATGAGATTATCCCACTTGTCGTTGCACTGATTCTGACTCCTCAAACACCCTTTACTCCAGCAATAATCTTCTATCCACTTCCACCGGAGCTCCGCCGGCTTTCCCCGCCCTCCGTCGTGTTCCTCCGCCGCTGATAGGCCGATAGACCGCCGGAGCCGCCGGTCATCGTCCATCTTCTTGGCCTCTATTAACACCATCGTCTCGCTCACCGTCCAGTTCCCTTTCCTGTACTCTCTCATCGCCACACCATCAGTCATAATGGAAAGAAAGGTCACAGCTTTTTATGTGGGTGTTGTTGTGAGGAGACCAGTCAAAGTCTTTTGTCGTTAGTACTAAGATTGTCACCAGATGCAAAAAAAAAAAAGAAAAAAAAAAGGGGGGACAGCGGTTGCAAAAATGGGAACCAAAACTAGTAATTCCCCCACATTAATTTTAATTAATTACACTATCATTAAATTCAGGGACAGGATTTTAGGTGAATCCAGCAAACACTTGCTCCAATTAATCCCACTTTCCACATCTTTTTGTTATTGAATTTTATTAAATGGGTTTCAATCTTAGTCCTAAAAGGACAAAAGAGGATGGATAAGCCATGAGGTGTGATGCAGTGATAACTTGTTAGAGGTTGGAGATGTGTGGTTGCATGTCCAAATGTGAATAAAATGCCAAAATGAGGTATAATTCGTTATCATATGAACTCAATAGAAATAAAAATGTCATATTTGCTTGTCTAGATTTTGTTAATTAATTTGGACTGCTCCTTCCCGCGGTGATGATGCTATTTTTTTTTTTATAAATAGATAAAAAAAGTCGAGATATTTCATTAAAATAATGTAATAAAATCAACACATGGAAGAGCCACCAATTATAGCATCTATATAATCTTGTTTTTCTTTCACTTATAGCATATATAATCTAGATATGTAATCTCAATATAAACTTGAAGATTTTGGAGGCATCCTATGGGGATTTTTCGTACCCTAATGAAAAAAAGGTTCAACTTTTCATGCCTTTTCGAAAAGCTACTGACAAAAATTCCTTTCTCAGAAATAGTAATTCGAATAGTTCTATTATTTTACATTATTAATTCAGAAAATCATCAGAATGATAAATGGTGCGAGAGTTATTCATAAAGCATTGAAAAACATTCATATGATTGCATATGTTATCATTGCCCACAAATCTTGATTTTCAAATCGATCATACCGAACTACCTATCTCTTAATTTTAGGAGGACATTTGGGTATTCGGTTCAGATTTGGATCGAAAATGGTTCGTTTCGATTATTTCAGTTTTATAAAAATAGATACCAATGGGTTATTCTATTATATGTTAGTTCATTTTTTATTTTGGTATGGTTCTGGTTTTTATTAAAAAATTAGATTTTTTTTTTAAAAAGTTCATTTTTTTAGACTTTTTTAAATTGCGATTCGGTTCGAATTTTTATAAAATTATTATTGTTCAAAAATTTTAAACGGTTCGAAAAAACGAACCCAAATGTCCACCCTAATTAGTTCTATCTGTTTAGGGGCGGACCCAATTACGTATTAATTAATGGGGTCATAGATACCCAATAAATTAATTAGAAAAATCAATTATCTTATAAAATCATTAAATGCCCCATGTTAAAAATGTATATAGGTCCGCCAACCGCGTTTAGCAGATTCTTTAACAATTTTACTTTGTGATCGTCTTGTTTTGGAAAACCAGACCTTCGTGTGGTGATAAATTGACCAAATAAGAAAATATCAAATTAATTTTGGATGATATGTGAATACTTACCATAACAACAATGTAAATGCGCATGGTCCCTTACAATGATTTGGTAGCCCAATCGATACACACACATATATATATATATATATATATATATATATATATATATATATATATATATATATATATATATATATATATATATAAGA